CACACACACACAAATACACAGAGGCACTTTGCTGTGAGGCGTGAAAGAGCGAGAGCTAAGTGAGGCCACTCCAGAGCGCTATTCTCTATATTGATTTCCCATTATCAGACCCCAGTCCCAGTGGAGTCATTAGTGCCGGGATCAAACAGACAGACAGAGAAGGAGACTAATACCAGTCACTTACACCAGCACAGGGAGATCACCTTACCTCCCCGAGGGTAGGAAGGCCAGAGAAGAGCAGGAGGAGGAGAGGAAATGAGGAGGGGGGGTTAGTGGACGGACGAGTGCAACGGGCTAACAGATGGAGACAGCAATGTGTAGAGAGAGAGGAAGAGGAAAGAGGTGGGGTTTTGCAGTGGGCAAATGGTAGACACTCTTTGATCACTTTATCTGGCCGTTCAGTTTTGTCTATTGAAGCGGAAATGTCTTGTTTCACTTTCTTGCCCTTTTTTTCTGCTTTTTTTTCCCAGCTAAGCATCCGCACCATCCCAAAACATGGTTACCTTTTGTTATTGCTTGATGAAGTTTTCAAGTTTTCTCTCTGATGGTTGACTTTTCTCTTTGTCCAACCTTGTAAAATGTAGCCAATAAAGCTCCTCACCCTCTTCCTCTCTGTCAATCATTTTGTGGTAAAGATACAATGATGAATGGTTTTCATGTAGCCAGCAGCTGTCCCCAAACCAGAGAGATACAAAAGAGAGAGAAAGTGAAGGAGGAATATGAAATGTGAGATACTCATTTTGGTCCCTTGCTTCATAATTTCTGTGGATGTATTTATTCTCCATGGATTCAGGGGGGGCAATGAATTCAGAGTATGAATCAACACCATCCATCTTATTCACTTCTGCCTACACACACACACACACACACACACACACACACACACACACACACACACACACACACACACACACACACACACACACACACACACACACACACACACACACACACACACACACACGGCTCAGATGGGGGTGACCCTGTCCTGACCCCCCTGCTGACCCCCAATCTGTTCCCCAACCTCACACCATGAGAGACCGGGGCACACCAGGATAGGGGCACAAACACTCAAAGACGCACACACTGTCAAACACACATTGGCACACCATGTGATCTGATGGATATCTCCTCAGACAGTACCATGTGTGTGGGCAGTGTGTGTGCAGACAGTGTGTGTGTGGTGCCTTACCCTCTGCCCCCTCCCACTGGTGTTAATTGATTCTTGGAGCGCTTTGCTGATTGGTGTGAGGACCCCTAGAGGCGGGCCCAGTCCCCGCCGATGCCCTCTCCTCATTTGTGTAGCACCTCTCTCTCACACACGCACACCCATAGACACACACACACACACACACACACACACACACACACACACACACACACACACACACACACACACACACACACACACACACACACAGTACACATCACTAAGATCATTTGCTTATCCCTAAATACATGTCCACAAATTCAAGGCACATGTGTTGTTTGTACATGCACTGGTGAGAAGACACACACACACACACACACACACACACACACACACACACACACACACACACACACACACACACACACACACTCATCTCTTTCAGGGGGTTTTCACACCTCAGTAAAGAGGAAGCTGGCTAGCTGACATGAGCAGATTGCAAATCATATGAGACGATCCACACAGAAAAAAAACACTCTTAGAGGAGATTCAGGAACCGTATAGGTGGGCAAAGGTGTGTGTGTGTGTGTGTGTGTGTGTAAGTGTATGTGTTGGTGTGTGTGTGAGTGTGAAAGAGAGCCAGAAAGACAGTAAGAGAGATGGATCTCTGGTTATTAATTTCCAGCCGCGGCCCCTGGGTGAGATGTTAATATAGGGCTGATTGTGACTAATTTCTTATTAATTGCCATCAGCGATTACACAGTGGCCAGTAATGTGGCTAATTTGTTGAAATGAATTTGGGTTTTCTGAGGCATTTTAATTGCTGCAGGTGGGCAGCCCTGCACACTGTCGCCTTTGTTTTCCAGCTGGAAACTTTTGAAATTGTCTGCTAACTGCTATGTACAACTAGTATTAGTATTTTGTGCAAATTATATCACAATATGTATGTGTACACATGTTTGTTCATGTATAGTCTTTGCATGCATGCGTGTCTGACATGCACAAACAAATCTTTGCAGCATCACTCTAAATGCCGGTGATATGTTATTCATCAGGTTTATGCATCCCCCTGCATCCATATATCTCTGCACGTTCATGATCATTACAGTAGGGACGGAGGAACATTTAAGTGGTTGCCTTTTGTTTGTTGAATGTTTATAGCTTCCGTTAGCACAGTCTCAACGACCACTGAGGAACCAGTAGATACAAAATCCAAATCCCTCTATAAAAGAGGAGATGCCCTCTGGGCAGCCATAGCTCATAGTTGGCCTGATTTAGTGGCAGCCAGGAATCTGGGCTTGAATAAAGACAGAGAGAGCGAGGGCAGAGTGGGAGAGAGAGAGAGAGGGGAAAAGATAGCTCCCTGTGTGATAAATAGCCCCGGCTCTCTCTATTGCATTAGCCGTCCGGGCCGATAGATTGCGAGCCCAATAGACCCAGACGTATGCGATTGGTTTCTCATATAAAAGTTGCATATTAAATTCCTTCACAGGACTGAGCCCCCCAAGCATGAAGGAGGGAAGGGAGAAATGCGAGTGAAAAAGCAGAGAAAGTAGAGAAAGGAGAAAAAGAGCAAGAAAAAGGCTTTTTATGAGCGGCAAAACGCAGGCAGAGAGTTGGGGAAGCCGGAGAAGAAGAGGGAAAGATAATGGCAGGAGAAAAGTAGCTTGATGGTAGAAAAGACAAATGATGATGTCATGTATTTAATAGGTCCGTGGATATTGGGCGATGAGTGCAACCGTACGTCCATTTAATCAGTATTGCATCCCAATGAAGATTTCTCTCTTGTTTTGTGCTCTCTCCCCCCTTCCTCTGTTCTCAGCCGTTCTCCACATGCTAACGACCTCTCTAATTGTTTCCAAGCTCATTACGATGCTGATGTTTTAATAGTAATTAATCCGTCATTTGCCTACATGCAAACACGGGCCACTGAGGTTTGTTCAACGCTGTTTCAATACACTGATAATGCAGTAGCCTAGTCAAAGGAGACAATATCCTGCTAATTTAGCTCATCACCGTTAATTGGTTGTTAAGTGCCTTTAATTACCAGGCAGGCTTTGGGATTTAGGTCGGCAGAAAGAGGGGGGTCGCTATGATTGTCCCTGCTGCTGTAATGGATCTTGTGTGAACTTTGAAAACTGGAATAAGCACACTTTGACCCTCTTCTGTTTTCTATCCCCACCTCACTTTCTTTATCCTAATTTCCTTTCTTCTCTTCCTTCCTTTCCTCCCGTCCCATCCTCCATCCTCATCTCTGTCTCACTCCCTATCTCTTTCTCCATGATATTATTAACTCATTAAGTTTTTTTCATTATTTTTAATAAAAGATGAGTTATGGCTTTAGCCTCACTGTGGCAGCATCCCCCTACACCCTCCTCCTCCCTCCTCTCTCCCTTCCCCTTCAACCATTTACTCCCTCCTCTCTTCCCCCCTCCCCCCCCCACCCCCCACCAGTTTTTTCCTTCCTTCTTGGCCATATTGTGCCTCCCCGATACGTTTGACCCTTGAACTGCAGTTTCTGACCTCAGTGTTGCTGGTTACAACCTTCTGGCCATCTTCTTAGCTTTTGCCTCAGCCCCTCACATCTATCAATCATCTCTCTTTTTCATAGCACTGAGCAGTCTTTAGATGGCATTCATAAGATTTATGATTCCCTCTCTTGTGTGTGTGTGTCCGTGTGTGTGTGTGTGTGTGTGTGTGTGTGTGTGTGTGTGTGTGTGTGTGTTGCCTGTGAGAGAGAAGGAGAGACGGAATAGAGGAAAGGAAGAAGGGAGCGAGTCAGACTGGAGAGAAAGAGAAGTAGAGGGGCTTGTCGATGACAGAGTTGAATAATGACAATATCTATGATTGATAGCTTATACAAAGCTAGCCGGCTGTGTGTACTGTATTGGTGTGTGTGGGCGTGTGTGTGTGTGTGTACATTATAGTGACAGAATGAGAGAAAGAGAGTCCATATGTTTTGTTTTCCCCCACATTAATCTGATGTTAAGGAAGCAATGATGAATGGTTTTCATGTACTTTGAGCTGTCAATGGTCAAGAGATGGAGATGGGCAGCAAGTGACCAGAATTACCAGGGGACACATCATGTTTATGAAGGAATAGAGAGACTCAAGGAGATAAAAGCATAATAAATGTCTTTCAGTTAGAGAGGACGGAGTGCAGATAAGACCAACTCTATGAGTTATTTACATACCTTGCTTCCTAGCCATGAAAAACCCAACTAAGACATATTTACTGCATCTGTTTGTCATTTTCTTCTTCTCTGAGTCAGATGTTTGAAAAGGCCCTTTAAAGGGCAGTTAAATGATACAATGTTGTTATGATGTTAATAAAATACTCAGTACATGGAAAGAGTGCAATCATTCCTCCTCAAAGGTCCCTTCTTGCGCTGCTTCACTGTAAGAAATTGGGACGAGATCTAGTACTTATTCTTTGCAAAAATGCATTGTAACAATCAGCCATGTCTTATAAGAGGCTTCAACAGTCTGTACATCTACAGCCAAGGCAAGTGGGTATCTTCAAAAATAACAGTCTTTGTCCCTCTGTTAGGAATGATTGTTTGTGTTTTATGCTGAGCCGTGCTGTAACGATGCATCCTGATATGGTCACATTAACAAAAGCCTGAGAAAGGACATAATGGTATGTTTCTGATACGGGTAATAGATATATTATAGACAGCATTTGGGTGATGCTACAATTTGTTGTCTGGTAGTGTGATAGGTATTTGTAATATAGTGATAAAAACATGATGGCACTACAAGGGATTTTAGAGAGTGGAGACCTCTGTCAAGGCCTTATCACATACTATCAACATCTGTACAAATGTAACATATTCATAGTTATTATTATAGATTCTTTATTAAATAGATACATTTAATTGGTTCTTCCTTGGCCCTTGCTACACTCTCGCAAAACGTTTTTTATGAAAATCAGCTACTACTTTTCCTCTTACCCTGCTGATAAACAAACATACAAACAATACAGGGGTACAGTAATAAAATGTATTCTTCATTATGTAGTACAACACAGTTTTGATTGGCTCATGTGGGTCAAAGTGAGAATGGTGGAAAATTGCATTGAAACATGTATCTAATCACATTTACTAAATGGCATTTTAAAATGGCAAGTTCTCCCTTGTACACTGCTGATTCCTTATGTCAACACTGCTTTCTGCTGCCACTACCTCCCTATATGATTAAGGTAAGTTTAGTACTGTATGTGTATGAGAATAACCGAATGCAGGATTAATTGAAAGCTCTAATTAAAGGCAGAGCTGTTTCCACCAAATCTAACAGTATAAGTGCTTTACACAAGTGTTATCCTGACCTTGTGCTGTGTGTTTTGTCACTAACGTTTATAGTCTAATTGTACATGAAATAGAGCATTTCCTTGCAAACAGGAGGGAGAGCTGAATTGAAAAAATAGCTACCCTAGGTGTTATAAATACCAAGTAAGTGTTTCCATGTGGTTTAATGGCTTGTAAAAATCCTTCTATCACTTGTGTACAGCTGCTACCTGACATGCAGATGGATATTATTTGCACTTCTGTGTCAGTCCTCAAAGGAAATAGCTTGAAGTATGGAGAAGGTTAAATGTTAATGTGGCAATAGTTCGAGGCAATGTGTGCTGACAGCTGTGATGAATTGTTTCCAATGTTCTCGTATTACCACTCATACAGTGTTTTCTACATCATCCCACATGATAATCCCTATCCATACTTATCTACAGTCCATCTGTATTGCCTCCAAAATGGAAGCATATATTAGATTGTTTATTGAAGCTGGTACAGTATGGTTGCAGTTTTGTATTTTTGAGTAACGGATAACGTCCAGTCCTCAATTACCTTTACAATATCATACAATACATACACTTGCAAGCGTTATGCCACTGACTGAGCAACAATAAAGACACATTCTGTAGACAGTAGACACGTAACATTAATTTGTATGCTATACATACACATGTCGTATATTTCAACACATTTGACATGAAATGGTAAGTTTAATAATGGTCTATTTATCAACTATTTATCTTCCATTCTTTTGATTTTGTAAAACGCCCATTTGTATTTCCAGGTTAAAGTTGTTATACTTTGTGTTTCCACTGGAGTGCACTCTTGAGTCAGCATAAATTATATAGTTCATACAATTAATGAGCAATAAGTTAATCAGCAGGTCTCAATCGGTCCTCCAGAGCTTCAATATTATCCAGAGTTAGTTTGAGTATATCATGTGTCACCCTGTGTGATGGTTGGCTGAGGTGGAAGGATTCCCTTAGCTCCATCCACGGAGGCGTCATCTTTGTTCGGTCCTGAACGAGTAGAGGCCGGCTGTGTGTGGAAATGTGTGCCTTTTTCCAGCAGGTATAAAGTAAAATAAATAAAATAGCTTTTATTGTTAGTAAATGAAAGTTTGAAACAAATAGTTAAAGTAATAAACTGTAAAAGATTATTCACGATGCTAGTTACATTCAAGCCTCATTGGGCTTTTACATTTTTTAGAAAAGGTCATGTACTGGTAGACTACACTTTCTATTTGCTTTGGAAAGTGTTAATGTTTCAGTTACAATGTATTGAACATTGAGTACAGCTTTTACCAGGCAGCCTTACAATGTTTTGGTAATCTTGAAGAACAAAATGACTTGCTTTAACTCTAGTTAAACTAGTACACACTTTACAAAGCAGCACATACAAAGGGCAAACCACTTAGTCGAAACTGTTCACAAAGTGCGAACAAAGACATGTGAGCAGGATGTGAAACTGGATAATGTACCTCTGAGCTGAAAGCATATTTCTTGGCCTAATAAGCATAATGCCATATGGCCTGTTGCAGCGTGGACGACACTGCGAGGGTCTGTGTGTCACAGTTCATTTGTTCTGGGCATGACCTGCTCTGTGGGGGTTGTAGAGATGTCTGTGTCTATATTTACTTACGTCGTCAATTACTGGAGCTTCTACTGCAGTACTGAAGGCTTCCAAATAGAAAGGCTGTAAATCTCTGTCTATCTTTTTGACAGTCTGTTGCTCTTCCTCTTATGGCGGATGGATCTGGCTCTTGGTTGCAAACGCAGTATGAACACAGCACACCTCATCAGCACAGGCTCAGCACGACCTGCGCTCATAGAGTGAAAGATTAGAGGAATGTTTGTGTGATTTATTCAGATTATTTGTGTTTGAAAGTAAGACAAACCAGTGCAATTACACACTAAGACATACATGCTTGATGTACTCCCCCCCCCCCTGGTTAAACAGGTCAATCTTCATTGATTTTTAGTCATTGAGTTTTATGTTACAATTTCACTGCATCATGTCAGATTCTTTTCATTTTACGTTTGAGTCATGAAGCATCAGATGAATCTAGTTGAACTGTGGATGGGCGAAATTACAATATGACAATTTATCGTCTTTCAATGGGATCATATCGTGAGTAAATCATATATCAAGATATCATGATTCATAATTTCAAAAGCAAACACTAATTTAAGGTACCTAAAAGGGAAATATAGTGAGGGAAGATTCTCCCAAGATTAAAGTTCTAATTTTTCTTAAATGTATAATTAAATTAAAACAGGATTATACAAAAAACCCTTTAGTGGTTAATTCATTTAGACTATTTATTAAAATGCCAGACAAAGTGCTATACTTGAGATATGTAATGGCCTATATCAGGATACCAGATGTTGTCCATGTAGCCCAGCCCCAAGCTAAATAATAATAATGTACCTTTCATTCCCATTGACATCTGTGGCTGCAGTGCCATTTGTAAGTTGAATAGTAGCTGTGGCTGTCCCACTGTTCATTTCTTGAAGCATTAAGCTGGGCTCTGTTAGAACGGCCCTGCAGGTGGTTGGGTTGTGGTCGCACAGCAGTGTCACCTCTGTAAGATGTTCTCTGGCTGAGAGGGGGAGAAAGAAAGGAATACTAAAAATTGAGAACCTATGTTGAGAACATATAATGGATTCTATGTGTCTTCAGGAATTAACGTCCACCCAACGACTGTTAAACTGAAGAACTTTAAAGTGTAGATTTGATAGGCAAACCAAAACATTTCTTATGCTTTACCTGCTGTTAAAGTGGGAGACGGCTGCCGGCTCCTCCACCCAATGTAGGTGGGGCATCTACATCTCAGTAGATGGTTGTATGCTGACCTGAAGTCCCTGTTGAGGGCTCCATACAGGATAGGGTTGAGGGCTGAGTTGGCATAACCCAGCCACAACACAATTGGATATGCTGCTACTGTGCTTGGGTCCGGGTGCTCCTTTAGGCCCAACACTGTGAACAGGATGAAATATGGCAGCCAGCACACCACAAAAGCCCCTATCACTGCGGCCAGGGTCACCGTGGCTTTGTGCTCCCGCAGAGCCACCGCTGTTACACTGGAGACCACAGTGGTAGTGGTGGAAGGATTGTTACCGCAGTTGTAGCTTGTGATGCAGGTGGGTCGGGCACTGATGATGCGTTTGGCCTGTGCCCGTGCAATGCGAAGTATTCGGAGGTAGGTCCAGCACATAGCCACCAGAGGCAGGTAGAAGGTGAGAAGAGAGTCAGTCAGCACGTAGGGTCTGTTCAGCTCAAAACGACATTTTCTCTCTGGAGCCCAAGGCCCTTGGTTCTGCACCGTGCCATTAACAGTGTTCCACCCCATTTGGATGGGCAAGAAGGACACAGCCACAGACACTGTCCAAACACCGGCCATGGCCAAAGCAACTCTCCATGGCAACACCAGTGAGGTGTATCTCAGAGGCATGGTCACTGCCAGGTAGCGGTCCACACTGATGGCCAGGAGGGTGAGGATGGAGGCGGTGCACAGCATCACATCCATGGAGATGTAGAAGTTGCAGAAGATGGGGCCGAGCGGCCAGTCGTTGGTGAGCTGGTGGAGGGCAGAGAAGGGGAGCACCAAGAGGCCGAGCAGCAAGTCTGTCACAGCCAGCGACACGATGAAGCAGTTTGTGAGGCAGCGGAGGCGTCGGGAGGCGCAGACCGCCACGCACACCAGCACATTACCACCAACCGTCAGGATGATGAGGAGGGTCAGGGTGACACCCAGCACCACTTGTGACAACATTATCGCTGGTGCTTCACTGGAGACAATCTGATGACGTCACCGCTGGAGCTTTATGTGAACCATTGCCACTTTTTTTGTTGTTAGTTATACGCTTGAAAAGAGGTTGTGACATTTACATTATCAGCCTTAGTCTCATGTTTAATGTTAATGTTTAAACACCTGCACAGGGTGTTTTAGGTGCTTCCATTTATTAAGGCGCATGCAGTCTAACCTCAATGTTTCCATGGTCCAATGTAATCCCTCCGTCGCCCAAAATTTCCTTTGCCTTAGCTGCTAATTTACTTGACTGTTTGCTGTTCTTGCTGAGCTTAAAATATATATTTGTAACTTTCCTGTGACTCAACCACACCAGTAACCCCATTCACACTTGGTACAATATCCCTAAAAAGTCTTGCTAGAAGTTCTTTAAACAACTTTGATCTTTTGAAAAATGCTGCAACTGACTGAAAGTCCCAAATCTGCAGAATGCCTTGCTGGTTTAATGCCTGTGATGGCTGTTAAATAGCTTTCTGTCTGTGTGGCTGATTCTTGTTGGTCCATGGCATCACGTTGGCTTCTTCACCGTCTTCTTTGGCTGTACTGACACCTAGCGGACAGAGATGATAAATACAGTTATTAATCAGCACAGGATGTTGCACAGCCCTGCTTATATACAAATGAATGATTTACGTATAGTTGATTTATTACATTCCCTCTGATAGATTATTCAACCCTAATTTGCACAACTATTCAAGTAGAACCACCATAACCAAACCAATTATGGAAACATTACTCTTTTGACTAAATATTTGGACAGTGTATTTTATCAGTGCATGTTTTTTTCGGCCCAGGATTTAAGTACATCCATGTGCTATCATGGCCTCTGAGCTATTTTTTCCATCTATGGATTAATATGGTAAACGTTGGAACACACCAATGCAAAGTATTTAAAGTATTTTTGGATACAGACAGGAACTTTCATGAGAAAGGAAAAGAATGATAACTCAACTACAAAACAAAAGTCATATAAATCACACAAGTCACTGAGTTGGCATTAGTTTATAGGAGGTGATAAAAAAATAATGAATAAGTAGCCAATGAAGACTGTCCTGCAGTGTCTACATAAACATCTGTTTAAACTCTACATTTTTGTGTCTAAACAATCTTTTCATTTTCTGATATGTTTCCAATTATCTGTGATTAATTTAAAAGATTTATCTCCAGACTAAGAAAGACTATCTAACTTTGGCCTATCAGTGCACTGACAACTCAGGCTTAATTTGTAGCACCAGGAAACGTTGTTTTTTTGTAAAAGTCCCTCACACAAACACAACCTAACCAACCCTAACCATCAAAACTAAACATCTTATCCCAACATTAACTTAATTTAAACAACTATTCTAAACTTCTCACAGTCTGTTAAAGTAGTGCCAACTGGCCAAGATATTTACACTGTGCAGAAACACACTACTTTATGGTATAATACTGAAATTGGTCCTTAAAAGGGCAGAAATATAAGCACACACAAAATGTATTTAGTGCTGACATGTATGATGGCTGATTTTAGTACGTTTATTTCAAATTCAAAATGTAAGCCTCAAGCATTGCATGCACTGTTTGATGAGTAAGGGATTCAATATGCTGTGTCCTATTAACAGTTAATTCCCAGACAATTATTATTATGTATCATTATAAGGACCCTGTGCTTTAACAAAAGAGACATATCACTGTCAAATGTTATGGTATTATGTTCACGTTAAGTTGTTTCACTGCTACCAAAAGTAAATCTGCCATTTTAGAAGTGCAGCTCATGGGAATTCCAATCTATAATCTAATAAAACCATGAACCAACACAGTAGTTTGTTTAGCTAAGGCCAAGATGTGCAACTCTGTGTAAACAGATAATGCAGCTCAGATAATGCAAAGTCTGGCTGTGCAATGTTCTCAGATCTGATGTTGCTGCAGAAATGTCTTGAAGGTTTGCACTGACCGGTGAGAGCAGCTCTGTCAAATGATCAGAGCAAATGTAATGATGTGAATAAAGTATATGCAGTGGCCAAATAATGGCCATTCATATGTTTTTAATGCAATGAAATGTAAACATAATTACTGCTAGTTTGTTAAGCAAATACTTCTCATGTACCTTTGACAAAAACAAAATTCTTTCTAACTTAGACCTTGTAAAGAGAGTGTTATTTGTCCTTTGCAAACATACTCATTTATGAAATGGGGACAAGAGTTTTTAATGTGTGCCTGGCGGAATGAGGGTGACTACTTGAGTGTGTGTGTGCAGTGTGTAGTACATGGGTTTTGCGTCAGCGGGTGGTGGGTAATGTTTGCTCGTCTATTTTCTAACACTGTAATGGATACTGGGACATTTGCCAGATTTAGAGCAGAGCCGCTCACTTATCACCTCAAAGAGAGAGAGACCAAAACAGAGAGGTGGAATCGCTGGCTTCACATGAAGACGAGAATAAAGAGCATTAGACTATATAATGGGGAAAAAAACACAGACAGAAAGGTTTTAATTATATTTTGGGCTGCATAAAACCAGAACCCCATCTCTAATCTTTGAACTCTTCTAATCTTCACTTCTTTGTTCCATGGACACATTTCTGTCACCGACTGGCGGCTTTGAACTTCATCCAGAGCAAACACTGATAACACGGCTACTAATGTATCAAGTGCTGCTCTGAAATGCACATGACATCTCCTCCGCTATATCTGACAGAGCCACAGACTGACTGACTGAGACCAAACATTTCAACCTTTTTAATCAACAAAATCTGTCTCTCACAATGTCAATCACTGTCCTGCTTTGTCTAACAAAAGCACACACAGAAGCTCACAGTAGAATTGCTTTTTGGATTCGCTCCAACAATGGCCTCCGAGGAATGTCCACATATGGACATGTATTGCAGTCACTAGAAGTTTCTGAATAACCTCGTCTCAACCCTGGGACATAATGTATAAGACGGTGTGTATGTGTGTATTCACTCAGGCCTTCTGGTTGTCTGCCCTCAGTCAAATGCATTACTTATTTTTCCCATGTAACAGTGCATGTGTGTGAGTGCTGCTATAATAGTTTCCTGTTTATTTTTGCATAAACATTTGTGTTTTAATAAAACCATATTAATATACAATCCTGCCCACTCACTTATCAAGAATCACATGTAAGCACAAGATTTTGATTCTTATTTAATACTGGGAAAAAATGCAAGTGTCTTACATGCATTTTCACTTTATCAAATCACTGTCAGACTGTGTTTATGGTTTCAGTACAAAGTCACAGTGGAAGTCATTCACCTTAATGTTGAAGTATGATACCCTTATATAGTAAATAAAGCATTGTTCATTTAGACAGTGCGCTACTTTATTACTGACATCTGTTTTCTTTCAAAAACTTCTCATTAGTTCTCCCTAATGGAAAAGGACAGTGAGTGTTACCACATCTGTTTATATCTTTGCAGACACACATGCACACACACTCGCATGTAGGCGTACATGCACACACTAATACTAACACATAACATACGTCTTAATAATGGGTTTTCAGGACTGTAATGGATTGTAATGATTGCTGAGTGCTGTGTTTTCCACAGGATGTAAAGGCTGCTCTACTTTAAAAGGTTTTCTGCAGGAGAATGCCGTTTCTTGTTTTCAAGAAATGACAAAATGTTGCAGCTGTGTTTGTGGTCTTGAGGACAATGCTTTGAGGGATCATCCTGGGACAGGTCGATCTTTGTGTAACACCCAACAGTTAGTGGATGTAACAGATAGGAAATATTAAGTGATTAACTTGAATGAGATCCTTGATCGCTTCCTCTCCCCTTCTCCTCTCTTCCAGCACAAGAACGATGCAGATGAGCCGGATAGGCTTCATCCTGCCCCATCAAGACCTGCCATTACTCAGTAAGTGGTCTGGTGAAAAGAGCCCAATTTGGGTATTGAGATGAAAGGCAGGCAGAGAAGAAGTTGGAACAGGGGCTCTTTACCAGACACGATCTGAGCTCGGAGATGAGTAATGAGGTTATTTACTTCTCAGCTGGGACTCGCTTTTTGATTTGCAACATTTTCCAAATACCAAGTGTTCAATCTGTAACCTTTTTTCTTACCAGCCAGATGTGTCTTTTTTAGAAATAAACACAAGGAAAATCTGCTTTTTTTCAAGCCAATTATTAACTAAAGTAAACAAATGTTTTGTCAGGAATGCACAGACGTGTTTGAATTTGTTTACGCAATCAGTACACTGATTAGTTATGCACGTCTTACATCCAATATTGTTATAAGCTCTGAATCATTAGCAGGGTAAGAAATTAACTTTTTTAATGCTGTTGCTGCAGACTAATTGCACATACAGGAAATAACTTGTAATTCATTCACATCATTAAAACTCCATCACAGCGTGTCTGCCACCTAATGTTGCTAGGAGTCATGGCAGTGTCTTAAGATGACTCACTGAACCAAACCGCTTGCCTCGTCTCTGCAAGGCTGCTGACATGTGGAGAGCGTGGTCTCAGCAGTGTTGCATGACACCATGCACTTCTAATAACATGATATTGTTGGTGGTTGGTTGAAAAGCAAAGTGGTCAAAAGGTATTAGAAGTATTCTACATTTTAAAAAGCAAGGATTTGAATATGATTTCCTTAAGTAAGACTGCTAATAGGTACATTAATCCATTCATTAACTTGTGAAGACTCTGATACTGAAGAGGCCTACAGATGTCGAAAGCAACTTTTCCCCCTGCATTCAGCGCCGTCAGAGCAACATAATGCAATCAGACATCTGAAGCCTTCATTTATCCTTATACAATTCAATTGAGCAAAAACACTTGGCTCACTCACTTCCTCTGCGTGTGCAAACAAATCTATAGCTGTCTGTATTTCTCTGAACGTGTGTCTGGGTCTGTCTTTGTGTTTGTCCTTGACAGACACCCAGAGAGAGAGGGGAAGTGGTCAGGGATGGTGTGTTGCCTGGTAACCGGTGTGTGTCCTGACCAGTGGAGGGAAGCTGTGGAATCTTGACAAAGCGACAGACGTGAGGGCAGACAGGTAGACACACAGGGTGTTTTTAGGTGGGGGAGGGGGGGGCGGCAGACGCATGAAATATGCATAGATACTAACAGCATGCATTGCTAACGAGTTCAGGTCACATGGGATGATGGATTGCCTTCAAAGTCAGAGTTGTCTTTAACACACCTCTGTTATGACTACATTTCAGCTACCGTATACAATGCTTCGACTTGCAATAAACATTTCGACATTATTGTAGAAAAACACAAACTCTCACAGGTCCAGCATCAACCTGTTATATCTTAAAGCGCCATTTTCTACTAGCATCTAAGCAGTGAACTCAATGGCTGCATATGTCCCCCTGACCCAGCCATGACACTAAACCACATCCCCTCTCTCCCCTGTGGGCGGCTTCAGCTGATACCCGCATTGCACTTGACTTCCTTGTTCTCTTCGGTTAACCCTCCCTCCCAGTTTGATCTCTATAAGTCATAATGTGCAACAATTTTAATTAAATAGAAGCTGCTATTCATAATAGAGACTCAACATAGTTCATTAAAGACTTTCTTGTTTTAAATATCAAATGTCAGCTTATTGAAGTGTCAGCAAATGTTGTACTGACTTCAGCAGCAGGTAAAGCAAAATAAGGAACATAAGGTGAATCACATTAGTTATGAACATATAAAATAAATAGCACTAACTAGAAGAATTCATGATTCATCAACATAAAAGTCTTCCAATACGGATGTCACAGTACTTGGAGATTCTTTTCAGTCATCTCCCTGGAGTGCAAAGCAGGAAAACCATCCCAAAAAATATTTTCAGGGATCCTTTGAATGACTTCTTTAAATAGACGACAGTACAATTAGATGACATTCCTTGGAAGTTAATTATATTCCATTTTCATCAGATTTCCCCATTATTCCAATAGATAGGGAATATTATTACTATATTCAGTCTGTGAGCCATTCAGAGAGGTCCTATCATTATGAACATTCATATCTGTTCATTTGCAATACTGATCTATCCATTGTGCTTACATACAAGGAAATGAGCAAGGACAATGTAAGAATCAGCTCTTCTTCACATTTTGGGTCAGAATATGTTCTTTCTTGCTATCTATCTACAGTATAATGATCTATCTGTTTTATGTATTTCTTTTAATATGGAAATTCACACTGTATTGGTTTGAGAATATGAAACTGGAAAGATGAAGCTCAAATGTAGAACGTCAAAGTATGTCATGCAGCAGCAACAAGTATAAGATCACACACGCACACGCACACGCACACGCACACGCACACGCACACACCCCCCCCCCCCCCTGCACGTAGAGTAATATTACTTCCTCATTTGAAGTACTGATTAAATGACCCCTTTGTATATTTGTCATTGTGCATAGTTCACATGCTCAAACCAGGATTGCCTCAGTTGAACTCTCAACATCCACTTGTATTCAAATGTAATCTATAACAAAAGGACAAAAGCAAAGGAAACTGCAACTGAGCTGACAAACATTCAGAGCACGAACCAATGTAGTGAGTCTGTTCAAGACAGACGTTGGATGCCACTAACCACACACAATCTGCTTCTCTATTTTTATCTCGTTCGTTCTGTCTTTTATTTTGAACTTCCTTTTCAGTTTTTGCATGAACATTAACACACATGAAAGTCAAGTGATAGAATTAAACATCCTTTATTTCAGTGTGCTGGTAATTAAGTGAAGGGTTTCTCAAATATTTGATACATTTAGTGCATTCATTATTCTTGTTTGACATGTAAAATGCAAAGCAGCAAATCAATGCAGACTTACACCACACACCTGCACATGCGTTGTTTTCACACACAAGTCCTTCAAATGTGATGAAATATAAAACAATGTTCAACAATAATAAAGTATCAACTCACCTCCAAGCTGCTTTTCTGTTTCTGAGAAGACTGCCCTCGCTACTGTGCTCTGCTCCCTGAGAGACGAGAGAGCCACAGTCTCGCTAGTCAAGACTGTGCGTAATAAGTGTGTGAGTGTGTGTGGGAAATAGAGGAGGGAGAGAAGCGAGGGAGCACCAGAGACTCACACACGCTCTCTTTCTCTTTCACTCTCTCTGCAGCTCCATCTATTATTCTTCTTTATCTCTTTAGGGTAATTTGCTTTTGAAATCTTTTTAATAGCTCTTCTATTCTCTTATCATGCCTTCGAACATGCGTGCCAGCTGATGTGATAAAGCAGCTGCAAACTGGAGACCTGGCTCTATTACCTGAATAATACAAGCACCTGTTGAATTCAGCCTGAATGGATTGGCCAGCTTTTTAGTCCAGTTTGTTAGTCCAGTGTGTTAGTCCAGTGTGTTAGTCCAGTTTGTTAGTCCAGTGTGTTAGTCCAGTTTGTTAGTCCAGCTTTTTAGTCCAGTTTGTTAGTCCAGTTTGTAATGGGAAGAGACACAAGAAGACATGGTATTCATGCATCCATCTGTTTTGGGCTTTAATTCTTTATTTGTCTCAGAAAATACCACTTCTCTCCAAACTTCAAACTGTTAAATAATATAGGGTTGGTTTAATGCTTCATTGATAGATGGCTTAAGGGCAAATCTATGAGAACTGGCACCAGTTGCAGTAGCGTGATGTCAATGACCCGATAGGTCACAAATATTTCTAAATCAATCTCTCTATTTCTGGTGCAGCCTTTTACTCAGCCTTTGTATCTATTTTTCATGTGCTTTGGCCCCCGGTGTGGCTTATCTATCATTTCCAATGTCTATTCATCTTCTGGGCTGCAGACTAACATTCATAATTTATTATCACATCTCTTTTCATGACTTTTATGTGATGTTTCCCACCTTTTCCTTATCTCTCTCATCTCCGTCTGTCTCAGTTCCCGTTGTCTTGTTCATAGCTGGTGTTGAATTAAATCTTTCTATGTCTCTTTTTGTACCTTTTATTTATTCCTCTCCCTGTTTCTGTTCCTTCATTTATAGAATGGTTGTCTCTTCTCTGGTTATATCAGCCTGTTGCATTGGTTACTTTTGTATTCCACTCACCTCAACGCTCCGCCTTTATTTCTCCTTGTGTCGCAGTAACAAGGCTCCAGTTTTCTTCCACTACACAGAACTATGCGATAACATATCTTTCTTTATCATTTAAAAAAAATTTCTTCTTTGTTTTTCTCCTTCTTTGTTCGTCGACATGCCGTCTTTCTCTCACTCTTCCTTTCACACAAATCATATAACTTTGTTTGAAGGTGTCGAATCTTAACAGTTACATACTTGTTAATGTTATAAGCTCACCTTTCTTTCACTTTGTAATCCTTAGTGTGTTGACAAGCTCTATCTCCCCTCAGGTTTCCATAACAACACAACCTATGATGTGTCTGAGCTGGTGGAGGATACCTGACTGACACTCCTTCATATAGGTGGATGGTGTCATAAAACATTGGCTATGTAAGTGATGTCTTTTTTTAATCAACACCATAGTTGGGTGTTGCTTTGCTTTGATGTCGTTGGGCCTCCAGACTTCCCATACAAGGCTGTGTAAGGAAATGATAAGTATATTTAAACTGATATTGTGGCAGTTGGCATTGATACCTCAAATTCCATTAGCTTTGTAGTATAAATCTTTATTAATGGGAAGTTAAGTCACATATCTAAGTCTAGGTCAACAGTGTGTTTGTAATATCCCATATCTTGATCTGATAAGATGAAGTAATACCAAGGGAATACAATGAAAAATTAAAGCTGCAAGCAGCGTTGAGCGGGTCTTCGACGCTCCGCAGGCTGTTGTCCGCACGTCGAGGTGTGTAGGTGTCTCGAGGACTCGGCCGTTGGCAAACGTGGGAAGTTTCAGGCCGATCGGACAACGTATTTAGGAGTTACAGCAGTATCATAAACATTGTGTTTGATGGCGAGTGATCTATCACCATGGCAACGGCATTTGATGACACCCCATAATAAGCTTAGATGTGTTGAGGGCTGCATCGTTATCAAACCTGTAAAGTTGTATGCCGTTTGGAGCATGTTGACTGGAGTTATGAGAAAACCATTTTTCACGGCGACCATTTTGTTACCATAGCAACGACATTTGACGAAATCTAAAAACTGACACATATATGTGTCGAGGGCTTGACGGTTAGCACCAGTGGCGTCGCCTGGCCTGGGCATCCGGGGCTTTAGCCCCGAATGTTTTTTCTGTAGCCCCGGACAATTCTCCCTCAATAATATAATACATTAACCGTGCTTTACGTGAACCTCATCATGACACAAGAGAGGACGGCAGCACTGTAATTTCCCGTGTTCAGTGAATGCAACAGAGGCATGACACCAGACCAATCAGAGAGTTGCATGGAAATAAACGTGTGTCATTCAAGCTCGGCCATGCGGCTTTCACACCAGCGATTTTCCCTTTCTAGCTCCTAGCGAGAGCTTTTCTGGTTCAGCTCCGGTTTCCCTTTTCAGCTCCCGCTCTGTTCACACTGCCCAGAGCTGCCGCTGCTGCGTCATGACGTCACAGTTTACGTCTCTGATTTTCTCCCACAACAACAACGGGCCGGGGACTGCGTCGGGTCGATGATCGTGTTGCTTTTAATCATACGAAGCCAGATTAAATTAAATAACGACTTCTCCAACCTTATACTTTTCTCCAGAGTGCCGTGGTTCATTGTTTATTAATGTGTTTCAGCGGCATTTACCGACCGCTGCAGTGCTGGCTGCAGTTCCACGGGAGTTTATTCTCCCGTTAGCTCCGGGTTAGCTCACACGGCTCTAAAGTATTCACTGTCTGACTGTCACACAAGCAGCTGATACATATCCCCAGTTTCCCTTAAGTGAATGTGTGTCAGTCTGAATTGACGCTGTTTGGCATCACAACGCTGTTATGAAAGTTTCTCTGGTATAACATGGGTGATGTTAGCATAGCAACCGAAGCTAAACTGACTACTTGCTAAGCCGTTTTCTACAGGCACATTTTACCGGCGTATTTTTCATTATGATTCTACTTGTGATAGTCGGACATGACAACCTGTACAGCCCATGTATCTCCACAATGATCAATAACAGCGAACGGATGGTCAAAGTAAGGTTTCCTGCACGCCTCGACGTAAGAGACGTAAGCGACGCCGCGTCATAGCTCCGAAGCTCTTGCCTCTGGACCGACAATTTTTTGGAGCTGGAAGTGAACCGCATTCCGGAGCTATGACGCGCCGCCGCTGCGGTGTGAACAGGAAAAACCGGCGCTTTTCCAGCTCCAGCTCCGAGCAGGAGCTGGAAAAGCGCCGGTGCCCCTTTCACACCGGCGCTTTTTCCAGCTCCTGTGTGTGTGTGTGTGGCAATAGCGCATGTGAGAGAGAGAGAGAGGGGGAGAGAGAGACCGGTGTCAGCATGGACCGTGTTGTTAGCATCTGGTTAGCTAGCTGCACTAACGGACATAAGGAGCTGTTTGTTCCACAACAAGCTGGAGGAGAGTCCTCTCCTCTCAGACTGAGAGACTCAGGTGAGCTAAAGGACTCTCTGAGTGTTTAGATAGTTAACTTTAGTCTAAGTTATCTCAGTGGGTCTCAAACGGTTTGGTCACAAATTATTCAAAAGATTATTTCCGCGGCACACCTTCATATGATCATTATAGTTATTAAAAAAAAGAGAATAAAGGAAAAACAGTTATGAAATACTATATGGCAGTAAAACAAGAATAGAGTTTAAAAGGGGAGTGATTAGTAAAATATCCATAAAGAAAAAGTACATCTGTTTACAGTTCTGCTTCATATGGGTGTTGAGAGAGGTATCCATAGATCTCTTCAATTTGCTCTCAAAGTGCACCAGATTGATGCATTTAACTTCAATATTTAAAAAAAAATCTTCCCGGGGGAGCGTACCCCGGACCCCCTAGAGGAGGTGAGCCCCCCACTCATAAAAAATACCACTTTACCCCTGCCTATATGCCGTGAGCTGATTATCGAGCCTTCATTGTAACAGTCGCGGGTGTACTGTGTGTGTGTGCGTGTGGGGAGTGTTGCAGTAGAATATTCCACTGTAGTGCCGCCGCCACTGTGGGCTAAGCCCCGAATGTTTTCAGGTCCAGGCGACGCCCCTGCTTAAGACAACATTGTGTTTTTTTGGCGAGGGATGCGTTGCCATGGAAACGGCATATGATGACATCCCATAATTGGCGTAGAGCTGTTGAGGGCCGGACCATTAGCCATCATCTGATGTCTGGTGCCGTTTGGACGTTTTTCCAGTGAGTTAGGACAACACAGTGTTTCATAGCGAGGGATCTGTCGCCATGGCTACGGCATATGATGACATCCCATAATTGGCGTAGAGCTGTTGAGGGCCGGACCATTAGCCATCATATGAAGTCTGGTGCAGTTTGGATCATTTTCCATTGACTTAAGATAACACTGTGTTTCATGGCGAGGGATGCGTTGCCATGGAAACGGCATACGGTGAGATCTCAGATTTCTCGTAGAGCTGTTGAGGGCCAGACCATTAGCCATCATCTGAAGTCTGGTGCAGTTTGGAACCTTTTCCATTGAGTTAAGACAACATTGTGTTTTTTGGCAAGGGATGCGTTGCCATGGCAACGGCATATGGTGACATCCCATAATTGGCGTAGAGCTGTTGAGGGCCGGACCATTAGCCATTATCTGTAGTCTGGTGCAGTTTGGATCATCTTCCATTGACTTAAGACAACATTGTGTTTTTTGGCGAGGGATGCGTTGCCATGGATACGGCATATGATGACATCCCATAATTGGCGTAGAGCTGTTGAGGGCCAGACCATTAGCCATCATCTGAAGTCTGGTACAGTTTGGATTATTTTCCATTTACTTAAGACAACATTGTATTTTAATGGCGAGGGATACGTTGCCATGGCAACAGCTTTTGAGGAAAACTCACTTTTGTCATATTGAGGTGTTAAGGGCTGGACCATTAACTGTCATCTGAAGTCTGGTGCAGTTTGGACCATTTTCCATTGACTTAAGACAACATTGTGTTTTACGGCGAGGGATGCGTTGCCATGGAAACGGCATATTATGACATCCCATAATTGGCGTAGAGCTGTTGAGGGCTGGATCATTAGCCATCATCTGAAGTCTGGTGCAGTTTGGATCATTTTCCATTGACTTAAGACAACATTGTGTTTTATGGCGAGGGATCTGTCGCCATGGCAACGGCATATGATGACATCCCATAATCGGTGTAGAGCTGTTGAGGGCCGGACCATTAACTGTCATCTGAAGTCTGATGCAGTTTGGACCATTTTCCATTGACTTAAGACAACATTGTGTTTTACGGCGAGGGATGCGTTGCCATGGAAACGGCATACGGTGAGATCTCAGATTTCACGTAGAGCTGTTGAGGGCCCGACTAGTAGCCATCATCTGAAGTGTGGTGCAGTTTGGACCATTTTCCATTGACTTAAGACAACATTGTGTTTTACGGCGAGGGATGCGTTGCCATGGAAACGGCATACGGTGAGATCTCAGATTTCACGTAGAGCTGTTGAGGCATGGACCGGTGATATAAAAGTGAAGATTGGTGGACGATGGGACCGTGTCCATTGGAGTTACAGCGACACCGTGTTTTATGGCGAGGGATTCGTTGCCATGGTAACGCCATATTAAGTAACATAAAATTTGACGTAGAGCTGTTCAGGGCCGCAGTGTTAAACATCATGTGAAGTTTGGTGGCGTTGTGAGCATGTCAGTTTGAGTTATGACATCATCGTGTTCCATGGCGTTTGATGGGCCTAGCATCGAGCGAACGCGAACTTTGGCGCCAAATCACGGCTGCGCCGTGCGAAAGAAAAAAACGTACGTAATAACCTTGAATTGCCCATGTCTGGAGATGCTACCCGACGAATTTCGAGTCGTACGGATAAAGTCCCTGGGAGAAGATAGATTTTGCGCGGAGGACGAGAAACGCGATAAATCGCGTTTTTTCGACGCCAAATTCAAAATGGCCGACTTCCTGTACGTTATTTTTTACCCCTCCAAGAGGCTTTTTTGTTCGTCTCCGCACCCTAGATATGCGTAGCGAGTTTCGTTCGTTTACGTGAAAGTTAAAGTGGGGGGAGTTTACGTTAAAAACGGAAGTGGGCGTGGCCTACGCAATTTTTTACGCAAAGTTCCGGAACCAATTACATATCGCAAGTTGCACCACTTCTGACGCGCGTGCAAAATTTGGTGAGTTTTCACATGTGTTGCGGGGGTCAAAGGTTTATCGGTCGCTGCGCGACCTAGGTCTCAGACCCTAATAACAAATGATTTAGAACTCTACCACCCTCTTTAGGATTAGCAAAATAATTACATAATTAGGGTCTGAGACCTAGAGACCGCGCAGCGACCGATAAACCTTTGACCCCCGCAACATATGTGAAAACTCACCAAATGTTGCACGCGCGTCAGAAGTGGTGCAACTTCAGATGTGTAATTGGTTCCGGAACTTTGCGTCAAAAATTGCGTAGGCCACGCCCACTTCCGTTTTTAACGTAAACTCCCCCCACTTTAACTTTCACGTAAACGAACGAAACTCGCTACGCATATCTAGGGTGCGGAGACAAACCAAAAAGCCTCTTGGAGGGGTATAAAATAACGTACAGGAAGCCGGCCATTTTGAATTTGGCGTCGGAAAAACGCGATTTATCGCGTTTTTCGTCCTCCGCACGAAATCTATCTTCTCCCAGGGACTTTATCCGTACGACTCGAAATTTGTCGGGTAGCGTCTCGAGACATGGGCAATTCAAAGTTATCACGGAAGTCTTTTTCTTTCGCACGGCATAGCCGTGATTTGGCGCCAAAGTTCGCGTTCGCTCGATGCTCGGCCATCCCTCGCCATGGAACACGATGATGTCATAACGCCAACTGACATACTCAGAACGCCACCAAACTTCACATGATGGTTAACACTGCGGCCCTGAACAGCTCTACGTCAAATTTGATGTTACTTAATATGGCGTTACCATGGCAACAAATCCCTCGCCATAAAACACGGTGTCGCTGTAACTCCAATGGACACGGTCCCATCGTCCCCCAATCTTCACTTTTATATCACCGGTCCATGCCTCAACAGCTCTACGTGAAATCTGAGATCTCACCGTATGCCGTTTCCATGGCAACGCATCCCTCGCCATAAAACACAATGTTGTTTTAAGTCAATGGAAAATGGTCCAAACTGCACCACGCTTCAGATGATGGCTAATGGTCCGGCCCTCAACAGCTCTACGCAAATTATGGGATGTCATCATATGCCGTTTCCATGGCAACGCATCCCTCGCCATAAAACACGGTGTCGCTGTAACTCCAATGGACACGGTCCCATCGTCCCCCAATCTTCACTTTTATATCACCGGTCCATGCCCCAACAGCTCTACGTGAAATCTGAGATCTCACCGTATGCCGTTTCCATGGCAACACATCCCTCACCAAAAAACACGAAGTTTTCTTAAGTCAATGGAAAAGCTTCCAAACTGCACCAGACTTCAGATGACAGTTAATGGTCCGGCCCTCAACAGCTCTACGCCAATTATGGGATGTCATCATATGCCGTTTCCGTGGCAACGTATCCTTCGCCATAAAACACAATGTTGTCTTAAATCAATGGAAAATGGTCCAAACGGCACGAGACTGCAGATGACAGTTAATGGTCCGGCCCTCAACACCTCAATATGACAATAGTGAGTTTTCCTCAAAAGCTGTTGCCATGGCAACGCATCCCTCGCCGCAAATTTCACATGTGTACTAACCGTCAAGCCCCCGAGACATATACGTGTCAGTTTTTAGATTCGTCAAATGTCGTTGCCAGGGTAACAAAATGGTCGCCGTGAAACACGGTTTTCTCATAACTCCAGTTAACATGCTCCAAACGGCCCAAAACTTCACAGGTTTGATAACGATGCAGCCCTCAACACATCTAGGCGTATTATGGGGTGTCATCAAATTCCGTTGCCATGGCGACAGATCACTCGCCATCAAACACAATGTTTATGATACTGCTGTAACTCCTAAATACATTGTCCGATCGGCCTGAAACTTCCCACGTTTGCCAACGGCCGAGTCCTTGAGACACCTAGACACACACGTCGACGTGCGGACAACAGCCTGCGGAGCGTCGAAGACCCGCTCAACGCTGCTAGCAGCTTTAATTCTTCAGGAAATCAGTCATTTGTTAGTCTGTTAGCCGCAGGCAGAAGGGCGAGACAAATTCAGCCAAGGATAGAAATGAATACGCAGAGAAAAGACTCTCTTATCCAAAATATTCTTTAATTAAAACTTTTTAACGTATCAAACAAGCTGACTAAACTCTGTCAACAGAAACAAAAATTGTAATTCATACGTTCAATTTATTTTGCCAGCTGATAAACAACCTTTCCTTCCTTCCTCATGAATCAAATGTAGAGGAGATATTCAACTAATTTAAATCCATGTTGATTGGCTGGCCATCTTTTTCTTCCCTGTCTTATGAGTGTGCATGAGATAAACAAAACAGGGACCCACTCACAGAAAAAAAAGTACTCCACAAGGAATCCTTGTTTTAGGTTTTGGTTGTCTTTGGACCGTCATGCTGATTTGTAGTTTAGACATAGAGCATTTCAATGTTACTATCTTCTCCACTGTTAAATAAAATATGATGATGTTCCTGTTTTTTTCTACTTGAAGCTTTAAGATTGTATTCCACAATAATACTGAGTGGTCTATGATTTTCGAAAAGGTCCCATCTATTATGGATGCTTGTTGCCAGTTGTTATTTAAACATTTAAAAGATGATGATCAAAGATGTGGTGAGGGCACACAGTGTGAGCTGGCAGACTATTGACTGAAGTCATCCACAGTCTACTGACTTCGCACACTGTGTCCTGTCGAGTGCATATTGTGTTAAGATTGCATTACTTAAGAATTGCAAAAAGAACATGTTTAGATAAAGTTTGTACATTGTAGGTACTTTTGCATACTATACATATCACTTTTCATCCCATCTCTAACAGAAGACACTGGCTATTGATGTTTTATTTTCACTTATAACACAGATAAAGTATTCCACTTAGTCAAAATGAACAAAATGGAGACTTCACACACTGCGCAGGCCTGTGGGTCTATAGGACTCCACCTTGTTGCACTCAACCACTTCCCCTCAACGGTCTGAAGGCAGGAAGAGAGGAGAGACAGAAGAGGAAGAGACACAAAGGGGGATGGGCTTGTTGTTTTAATTTAGAGTTAAAAAAATACAGAAGTGAGAAGTTTAGTAGACACCCTCCAAATACAGAGGCTGAGAGAGAAATTGGAAGCGAATCCAAAAAAAGACTTTGCAAACTAAAAAGAAGTAGTACTAAAAGGAAGTAGGCAAAGGGCTACATGTAATCATGGCTCCTTGGACGAGGACCACAACAGAGCGGTATGGTGTAGGTAAGTTGGTTTGTGTTAACGTTTGGGTGTCTTTGTGTGTGTGCGTTCAAGCACTTACATGTTGGTACAGTGTCTATCCGTTAGGTGTGATTGTAACCAATCTATGCTATCAATAAGAATGAGAATAAAATGCCCTTCACTTCCTGCTTAACAGGATGTGAGCAGGTGCTAGTGGACACACATAACTTTAGGATATACACATTACAAGTATATCCCCCAAAAATAAAACAAATCCTAAATTCAAATTCACCTTTAAACTTCAATGCAACTTAACTCGTAAGAGTTAAGACTGTGGGGAATAAAATCAAGAAATGCATCTCTCTTTAACTAACACATAAGTGGCAGTGAGTAGGCAATCTTCATGCATTTCACATTATGCATAGCATTTTTTTGGAAAATAACTATTTTAGGTTTTGGAAAGATTGATTTTTGCTTCAGGAACAAATCGTAGACAGTTAAAGCATAACGTCTCAGTACAATCTGTAGTTATCTGCTGTGTGGGTTGAATATGGTCGAGCTGATCAGCATGTGTTGCCGTTAGATATGCGATGCAGACACACATTTAGCAGAAATACAGATTTATGAATTCTAACACAGATTGTTATGGCAGAGCTTCACTGCCTTGTTGCACACAATGCCTTGATTAATCAGTTGCTTGAAATAAATACGAGATTTAATTTGCATTGTATAAAAAGTAAGGGAAGTGAAGGAAGTTGTTCTACTGCTTGAAGATTGACAGAGAAGAGGGTAGTGAATTTATATAGGTCATTTTTACCTGTTACTAATAAGATTACTGATTAAAGTGTTGTGGACCTTCTTTATAGAGAATAACATATTCCTGGACTGTATAAGACTACAACACAGGAAGTGGAGGAAGAAGGACTGAAGCTTTTGTTTTTTACTAGTTCTAAGCCGTAAATCTAAATACTGTAAAAAACGCATAATCTTATGAAATTATATAAACATGTGTCTTAATTTTCCAAAAAGTATGCATTTCAATGTATTACAGTCAAGAATAAAATAAATGGTGATAGCAGTCATTTTGTAGCTGCGTAACTGATGGTTAAGTGTCTAAATCATTAAGAGAGACCAAAGTGGCTCAGACACACACAATGTCTACAATTTGTGGTCTTGTCAGATAGTATTTTTGTAGGCCTTTTTGGACATTGCCTATTTGAATGTTATTTTATTTTATCTTGATTGCTTTTGTTATTTATTGCTCATTATTTAAAACATTAAAAACATAATTTCAATGGGTTTGTTCTTGTATATGAAAGCACCTTGCATTGACTCTGTGGTTGAGATGTTCCTTATAAATAATGCTGCCTTGCTATTTTTATTTTATTTTCTCTTAAAGGTGGGGTAGGTAAGTCTGAGAAACCGGCTCGAGATACACTTTTTGTTATATTCCATGGAATGCTCTTAACCTCCCGATAGCAATGAATATCTTTGCTCTTGTGCTTTGACAAAAAAATCCATAAAAAAATGTCATCTGTGGAAGCCGTAGTACTGTAAAAAGCACGACCAATCATTTTAGCCGGCCCGGCTAAAATAACTGGATGGCCTACCTGCCTGTCAGCCTTCCATCTGTGCACAAACTTATCTCGTGCCCTCATTGGCCATGTGCTCGTTCGTGTGTGTTGGAGGAGGGGCTCTGTAAGGAAGTGGCAGATTTTTTCCGGCTGTGTATTTTAAAATTCTAGCGCACTGGAGCTGGTTTCTCCGAAATTACCTGCCCCACCTTTAATTGACCTGATTCATCGGTAAACCGTTTATGTAAATCCTTTGTTGGTGCAGTGACTGAAGAGGTCATGAAAAAGGGAGAGAACTGGTGCACTTCACCAATCAGGCTAGCTTACTTTAGCTAACATTCATAACATGATAGCAACATATTAGCCCTGCCCAGCTAGTATTTGTTTGTTTATGAAGTTTGTTTTTAATAATAGTGCTATTAAACAATGAACTATCATATATGCCCCTTATCAGACTGTAACCATTTCTTTTTTAGTTAAGTGGAATTTCTTCGGCAAAGGAGAAAAGCAGCTTTCCCTTGAGGTAGGAGATGCGGTCCAAATCCAGGAGGTCTGTGATGGTAAGAATACATACATATATGAAATATTGTGCGGTATGCAATGCATCATAGCATAGAAAAGCATATTATGCAACAAAGATTACAGTATGGCAGAAAACTGATATTGAGTTTTTCTTTCAGGATGGTACAGAGGCCACCTGGTCAGGAACAAAGTCGTGTGGGTAAGAGCTTACACACATTAATCTGTATTCACACCAGACTGTGCATCACATTAATTTGATCAGAAAGGTGATAATAACACATGATGCATTTCCTTCAACTAGCTTTATTCAACTGAGAGATATTTGTTCTAGTTTTGTGAAAAGGAAAGGTGAGAGCTGCTCTCATTTCTGTACATATCTCGCTTATTACTTGTTCCTTTGCAGGGAGTGTTCCCTGCCAGTTATGTCCATCTTAGGGAGGTTGTCGTTGAAAAACGAGGGTGAGTGAACTTAAGAAGTCTTCATCTGACTCCGAAAATGATGTTCTTGGAATATTTTGTCATATTTTGTGTGCTGTATGTCTGCCTACAGAGGAGAGGAGGTTGTGCTGCCTGCAGAGATGCCCTTGGTGAAAGAGGTGACCACCACTTTGAGGGAGTGGGGAAGCATATGGAAGCAGCTCTTCGTGGTAAAAAAACAACATAGAAAAACACTTCTTGTTCGTATGTGAACGTGTGTATATCTGGGAGTAACAACATGTATCTACCTATCCAGGCCAACAAGCGGACGCGTGTGAAGCAGGTCCAGAGGCTGATGTGTGAGCTTATGGAGTGGCGTTCCCAGCTCCTGTCTGGCACTCTGCCTAGTGACGAATTCAAGGAGCTCAAGCAAAAAGTCACCTCGAAGATTGACTATGGCAACAAGTATGTCTGGTCCAAAACAAAATTGCTTGTTTAGATTGGTCAATGGTTGAGCCAATTTTTGTAAACCATTCTGTTGTCCTCCCTTACCTTTCCACATTTTTTGTAACAGAACTTTTCAGACTCTTCTCCCCTTATCGTTATTTCCTCCTTATCCCTCCTTCCTCCAATCCCTCCTTCCTCCAATCCCTCACTTGTTGCCTTTTTTCAGTCCTCAGTCCTTTGTACACTTTCCATCCATCTCCCCAATCCTCACCTGAGCGGTATCTCCTTCTTCCCACTACAGGATCCTGGAGCTGGACCAGGTGGTGAGAGACGAGGATGGGAACATCTTGGACCCTGAACGGGCAAACGTCATCAGTCTTTTTCGGGCCCACGAGGAGGCTACAGCCAAGATCAATGAGCGCATCAAAGAGGATCAGGTAAGGACGAAAGATGAGAAGGCAGGGCAGTTGGGAGCAGATAAAACAGAACCCCATGATGAAATGGCCACACAGACAGTTTCAAGGGACTTCTTTGATATATTGCTATCGTTTCACTGCACTATACTTCCCAGAGGTATCCATGGGATTTTCACTGGGAAACTGTTCATGGGAAAAAGCTGTCATCAACTAGATAAAGGTGGAATCACAGTTTTGTCATTTAATTTGTTTTTATGATAAGAAAGTAGTTACATTAAACTTCATCTGCATGAAAATGGCAGATAATATATTTCACTTAGCAATCATGTCTGCGAGCCAAGCTTTTCGATTTCAAATTGTCTTGACTTCACTGCAGCTCTGTAAAGCCTGTGCTACATTTGAACATTGATTCATTAGTAAAAGGAGAATGTATTCCATGATTCTCCTTTATAAACCCATAATCTTCATGCTGCAGTTGGTACGTCGCAGAATTAAGTAACCATCTACTGTTAATTGACCAGATTTGTCAGGAGTTTGCAGTAAAGGCTTTTGACAGGCATTTTGTCTTTAACTAATGTCCTCCCCTGCAGTCCAACATCCAGACGGACCACAGCGGGATCTCCGCACGGATCCAGTCGTCCCCCACCCACAGCCTCTACGTGTTTGTCAGGAACTTTGTCTGTCGCATTGGAGAGGACTCGGAGCTCTTCATGTCCCTATACGACCCCGTCAAACAAGCCATTATCAGGTGTCACTTTTCCTTCTTTCTTGGCTTTAGTCCCTTCCCTTCTACAGTGAGCTTTAAAAAGTGTTCTTTTACATGCTGCTGTTTTTCTTTTCGCTGTTATTCTCTTTAATGTATTTTTTTAAACGCATATTTGAAGCCCCAGATTCATATGCACATTTGAATGTCTGGGTTTAGCCTTCAAATAAAAAATTATGTTAATGTTAAAGTCTGGCAGATTTAATTCATCCCACTACCATGCAGTTGATTCGATTTTGTCGTGTAGCTTTGTGTCACTTTGAGGTAGAAAACAAGGTGCATGACTATGAATAGCTATTGTTGTTTTTTGAAACAAGATGTCTTCGTATGGCACGTACAGTATTGATTTAGCTTCGGAGTCTGAATTTCATGTCAAGGATTTCAATCATAACATAATGCAGTTCAATTAATACAATTGAAAATATGGGAAATTAAGGTGAAGTAGATTTAGCCAACGCTATAATCCTCTCACCCATTCACTGACTGGATTTATTTTACATGTCACGTGTTAGACGCTTTTATCCAAAGCGACATACATTCAATGGGCATTCCCCACAGGAGCAATTTGGGGTGAAGTGTCTCTCCCAGGGTCACAACGACATGCTGACAGCAGTGGGACTCGAACTTGCTATCCCCTGATTCGAAGTTCAGCGCACCACTCCACTGAGCCACAGCCTCCCGCAGCTGTATATATATATCTCTCTTTCTCTGCTTTTGTCCTTCTCTGCTCCATTTTTGAACCCCACTTATTTACAACAAAGGGATGCAAAAAGAAGAATACAAAAAACACAAATTATAGGGCAGCCGACACTGACTGGCAGTGCTGTGTGGTGGCTGACAGGGTTGATGCTAAGCCCTGTCACTCACTGTCACACTGGGTATATCTAGGTCTCAGCCACTGCAGCTGCAAGTATTAAGATAGAGCATGATCGATCATGTTTTTCTCAACATATATCTTTCACTGTTAAATATTTGCTTACTTTATTCTGGTTTCTTTTTTTCTGTCTGTGTTCTTGTTATACTTGTGTGAATACTGCTTTATGTTTAGCTTTTTATTTTTGTTCTACCAACTCCCTCAACTTTTTTTATATGTCTGTCTCTCTCCGGCAGAAATGGTAGATATTGGATTTTATGATACTGTAGGAGACTTTTTCTCAGTTTTGATCCACCCTGCTGAACCCATGTGTCTGTCTTGCTGTCTATTTTTCTTTTCACCCCCTGTCAGTGGCTGGTGCTCGCATGTCAGGAAAATGCTTTTGGGAATAGATGGGATGTATTTTTAGCACAGGTTTTAATTGTTATGCAGCTGCACTGGGTAACATTAATGGATCCACATGCCTGTCAGGGAACATTTTAGCATTTCAGAATGAATGTAGTTTCCCATCAGTAAACATACTATGCATATATGGTAAAGCCCATGTGACAATGTACACCAGCCTGATTCGTTGGTTTGAGTAGTGGTGTTAGTAAGTGCAATGCATTCATAGATGAGTAATGACGTCTTACATGCTAATAATTAGTTGTATTAGTAATACTTCTTAGCACAGATTCTTTTAAGAATCTCTAGAGCTAGTCAAGAACATCAATAAGACACTTATAATTAACATATTTAATACTTTATGACTGTTGATATAGTACTTCAGGAAGCATTGTGTGTGTGCCAGTATAGACATGGAACATTATGAATGCATTATATTTCGCAGTGAATGCCTGCATAACACACTATAGATGTCGTTTTCTTAGAAATTCTTGTTGATTATATTTATTAAAATGGTAATTGTTGATACTATGTCTCGCTGTATGTTAAACTAATGTGAGTTATAGCTTTGCAGAACACTAACAACAGTTCTTGTCATGTTTTTGCAGTGAGAACTACTTAGTTCGCTGGGGCAGCAAAGGATTCCCGAAGGAGATTGACATGCTGAACAACCTGAAGGTTGTCTTTACAGTAAGTGACCACAGGAGGGCACTGTCTCACTGTTCTTTACATCAAAATACACTGTACTTAATAAGAATGAATGGGGTTATTCCTTCTAAGAAGATTGCATTGTTTTTCATTTCCTTCCTCCCCCTCTTTCCCACCTACCCTTTTCCCCCAAACTCTTCTCTCCTCTATCTATTCATCCTTGTATCGGTTATTATCACATTCATCGTGCACTTCTTACTTTGCTTTTTGTTCTCTCTGCTTTCCTGTCTCTGTTTCTCTCTACCAGGACTTGGGAAACAAGGACCTGTGCAGAGAGAAGATTTATCTGATCTGTCAGATAGTGAGAGTGGGCAGGATGGACCTAAAAGAGACTTTGAACAAGAAGTGCACCCAAGGCCTGAGGCGGCCCTTTGGGGTGGCAGGTACTATAAGATCAGCCAGTGCTGTTTAGTTTTGGTCAAAGTTGTTGCTAAATGTTTTATAATGAGTGCAATCAACCATTAAGATACAAATTCAAAACTCTAAGAATCCTTCAGGTACATTATCTTTTAATAAGCCCAACCATTTGAAATGCTACTGCCAGTGTTTCCGCCAGGGGGGCGTCTTGCCGTCATTTGACAGCCTTAATCAGCTCGGAACGCCCTGAACTCGAGCCGAGGGCGTCCATTAAAAATACATCCTCTGTTGGAGGGGCAAAGTAGCCTGGTGGGATTCTTTTCGGAGTATTGAAGATCGTTTCCCCGACATTGGCCTCTTTTCAGTTTTTCGTATCTTGGACCCATGGTGCCTGCCCACGGTGCCTGCCCCCCCCCCCCTACATAGAGAAATAAGACATTTTTTGTTTGTATCCTTACACATGGAAGCTCACTAATACAACCACAGTACTTTTTAGCACTAACACAACTCAAATGTTGATGGTCATGGCCAGCCCCTCAGGCTATTATTGGTCCCACTAGCTCCAGTCTGGTCTGTTTTGACTAGTGTGTGATAACGATTTATATGCAAGATGTTCACATGTCTAACATTGTTGACTGATGTGAATACACCATCAGGAACTACTCTTTATAATTGTTTTGTTTTCTTTGTCATCACTGTCACACTTGTTTTTTTGTTCTTGGCAGTGATGGACATCAGTGATATCATCAAAGGGAAGATTGAATGCGATGAAGAGAAGCAGTTCTTTATCCCATTCTTCCCGTATGTTGTATTTCCCTCTTTTACTATCAAACACTCCATGTAATTCAAAGCAATATTGCATTTTTCGTGTGAAGGTTTCAGCATTTGTGAGACTTTTATATTAAACAATGTTTATGGGTTTTAAAGTGTGTTTTTGTGTGTTTTGTTTGGCTCCAGGGTAGTTGCTGAGAATGACTTTCTACACTCCTTGCTGAACAAAGTGACAGCGTCACGAGGAGACAGTGGCGGGCAAGGTACGCTTCTGCATTTACCAGCTTCTCTCTCTGTATCCATGAAAGCCAGGTGATTTTTCTGCCAAAGTAAGTGGCCCTGTATGCTCTAAAGGTTCCCAGTGGACTGTGTACGCTGCAGCCAATTGTAGTGAGACAAAATGGCCATGTCTCATCACATCCTCGCCTCTTCTCTCTGCGCTGTGGGTGAGAACGGAGGACATTATCCTGATGGATAGCATGAGCCCTCGAGCCGATGTTTTCATATTACTTACCCTTTATTTCTCCCTCACAAGCTTCAGTCTCGCTGCCCACTGCCCAATGTATATGGCAGACTGTGACAGCCCCTATGGGTGGTACCTCATAGACGTAGCCTGCATGTCGGACTGCAGTGTCCATATCACTCAGCTTTTATCTTTCCTCACGCTCCTGAAAGCCCTGGGTGTAACCTAGATAGGAAAGGACGAGCCGATATGGAAGGAGCACCTGAGGCCGGCCGATGTCTGTTCTTTACATTACTCACTCCTAATCTCTCCTTCCTCTCACTCATTTTTCTGCCACAGCACACACTGACACACATATCGAGAGTAATCCCTGTAGGTATGTGGTTAGCCTTGGAAATGTGGGTTTGTGACACAGTCTGTGTACTATGGTGAAACGGCTCATCCTTTGCTATGCTTTTTCCCATCATTTCTCTGAAAGCTTTGAGAGCCCATATTCTTTAGGACAACATTCCTCCCCCCCCCTTCTTTTACACCCCTTTGACAAACAGGAGACAGAGGTTTTATAGTGTTATTGATTAGTCTAGTCTGTAACAACAGAAGACATTTTCACATCCCCACATCACCTTGAGACACTTTAACATTATGCTCCTCGTATAGAAACACTTAGATTTTACAAAGTGGATCTCACTTTATGTTCATCTGTCAATCTTAAGTGTTTTAGTGATGCTGAAAACCTCTTAAAATGTTTTCATGAATTAAGATTTAATAGTAGAGGGCCTTGAAATTCCTTTTTCATTTATTTGGCTTTTATTAGATTTTACTTACCTGCAGAGCGAAATAAAAACTCTCTGGATCCCTTATTTTTTGAATCAACTGAAGTGGCAGCAGTTTCTTCTTAAATGTTCTGATATTCGGTTCCACAAAGTTCTGTATTAAGTAGCATTGAATTACAAACGTAGAGCCCAGTGTTTTCCTATAAGCTGTTTTGGGTGCTCAACTTTGTTCCCTATTAAAGTATTACAGGAGAATATGTTTATATTCCTTGCTTGTGGCACTGAACAGTAATGAACACAACATCTACAATAGTTACCAAGTAGTCGATAACCCATAAATCAGTACAGGGATGGATATCGGATACTGTCCAGTTGATATAATATCGTTTTTTTTTTATAATGATGGACATGTAACCTTAAATTCTGACACATGTTTTTATTGTATTCATGTTTCTGTGGTCTTGTTTTTTTTATCCTATTTTTCTTGTGAAGCACTTTGTGAATTGTATTTCTCAAAGGTGCTATACTAAATAAACGTATTATTATTATCTTAAAATTCCACAAGGAAATGTTGCTTCTTTACAAATGTATTGCTTAGTTATTATTATTATTACACTTTAGATTTGTGTCATCTTTCTTAAGAGACACAAGAATCTTCTGATGATCTCAAGGCTTTTTCAGGGGCTTATCATTAATATGTATTTTTAAGGAAAGTCAACACTGCTTACGAAAAGGGAATAAAAGAATCGCGAGTCCCATTGCAAACATCTAGTTTTTTTACTTATGAACCTGAGGAATGTATATGGGTAGAATATGAATCCAAAGCCTCTTTCTCTCCCCCGTCTCCCTCCAGGTCTCTGGGTGACTTTGAAGACTCTGGTCGGGGACATAGTTCAGATCCGGAAGGAATACCCTCACCTGGTGGACCGCAGCACCGTGGTGGCCCGCAAGCTGGGCTTCCCGGAGATCATTATGCCGGGAGACGTGCGCAACGACATCTACCTCACCTTACAGGGCGGCGACTTCGACAAATACAACAAGACGACACAGAAAAACGTGGAGGTCATCATGTGGGTCTGCGATGAGGAGGGCAAGGTCATGCAGGTGAGCAGCACGAAGAGATGAGGCTGCGGACACACAGAGCGCGTATTTAAAGAGAAAAGGGATTTGTGTAAACACAGATTGATTTGTGTGTCGGGGATTTGAGGTGGAGTCTGCAGGTAAGAGTGTGTGTGTGTGTGTGTGTGTGCGTGTGTGCGCCTGTGTACCATATGTGTAGTGTTTAAGAGATTGAGTTGGTTTAGGCCACTGAGCAAACACGGCACTGATCAGGGGCTTATTCACCCCCTCATAGTCAGGGACACATAAACGTGGCTTTATCCCAGAATGAAAATCCATTTTTAGGCACACATGGATGAACATCACACACGCACATATGCACACAAAGTCACAAACATAAAATCCTTCATCTCAATATGACACATACTTTTTTCTCTCTCTCCCTCTTTCCTAGAACTCCATCTGTTTGGGCGCAGGGGATAAGGTGGTCAGTGAGTACAGATCCGTCATCTACTACCAAGTCAAACAGCCCCGCTGGATGGAGACAATTAAGGTGTGTTTGTGTGTGTCTGAGGGAGTTGCAGAGCTAACAATTAAAATAAAGTTTGTGGTAGAACTTATTTTAGTTTTCTTGAAGGTGTCTGATGTTTATGTAGCTTTTGCATTCTCCATTTCAAACATAACTACCAAGAAAATAAACCTGTAAAGTTTGAATATATGTTACTTTATTTCCTATAATAATGTGTCCTCCAGGTGGCTATTCCCCTGGAAGAAATGCACAGAATTCATTTACGCTTCATGTTCAGACACCGCTCTTCCCAGGAGTGTGAGTATCGGCCTGTCCGCCTCTCCTCTGCTCCCCTGAGCATTATGGGGCACTGCAAACACCGAATGATTGGGAGCAATTTGGAAAATGGCCCAAGCCATCATTACGCACACTTGATTATACAAATCGCTGCTTTTTATTCCTGCAATGCCTGAATTCTCCCTCCACCTCCTCCCCTTCTTATGTGTTTCTACCCTCTTTAAATGTATGAACCCGTCTCCAGCCAAGGACAAGAGCGAGAAGAACTTTGCCATGGCCTTTGTGCGTCTGATGAAGGACGATGGGACAGTTCTACAAGATGGACTGCATGACCTTGTAGTCTTCAAGGTCAGAATCAAAAACAGAACCAATGCAGAAAGAAAGCAGATGATCAGGTTCATTGAAAAACAAATCATCATGAGGCAAATTTCAGCTCACTGATTTATCCAAAGTGGATGTGCAAGTTATAATTGAGAACCATATCCCGTCGTCCTTGACCCACCACACTCTTACAGACGCCAAAGCTCCTCTGAGAGTAAAACATGACAGGGTGAGCATTTAATGATGAGAAATGATCAGTTTATTTGGATTAAACAGCCAATATTACAATACATCTTAAATAAATGTGTAGGTACAACTTTAAGTGGCAACATACAAACTGGTAAACAACACAACCAGTGCAATAACTATTTAATGACCAGATATCATTAATAGTTATATATTCTATAACAGTTAATCAGTTGCAAGTATCATTAAAGAAGACCTAAACATTTAGTGAGTCTGGACCGGAGATTATAGCCACCCAGGTTGAATAAAGCCAAATAGATTTGCTGCCAAATGAGCCAAAGCTAAGATTGAATCCCTCTATTGATTAAATGCCAAACGCAATGAAGATTAATTACTCGTGATTTACTCTAAAGACCAAATGGATGGTCCCCATGTGCCCTCTTTCTCGATTATCTCTCGTTATCCCTGCATTCCTCTCAATCTCTGTGCCACTCACCCATTATTACTTACTGTTTTGGCATTTAAGAGGGTAGAGTTGAGGTTTGAGCCCCAAATGAATCTGACCTGACCTACAGTACAGTATATCATATATATATACAAAGTATAGTAGGTAAAGTATAATCACATTAACAAAACGTATACAAAATAGTAATATGAATCAATTTGATGTTGCTTATTCTCATAGTTTCCGTCTTCTCTCTGTGTTCGGTCCATCTCTTCAGCACTTTCAGCAAGAAAAATGCTGTACCAACAGCTGGGGTGGTTTTTGTTTGGGTTTTTATTTTTCTAACCTGTCGTGGCCCCAGTGTTTCTAAAGTTATGAGTTTACAAACCGAAATTGAGTCGGGTAGAAGTAGATAATGCATTGTGATCACAGAGAACAACTGCTGTGGAACCGGCGACTCCAGGTACCGTTTGTCATTTGTTCCTTCAGGGCTGGCCTTATAAATCATTGCCAGTGTATCCAACCCCAGTGTCTCGTACTCCTGTGTTTGCATCAAGACAGTCTGACTTAACACAGGAAGTATAATTCCCGTCCCTATGCTGCTGCGTAGCCATCAACCATCTGTGCCATCATTAGCAAGTTTTAGCAACATAATTGTTTTTTTCCATCACAATTTGTTGACCATACTAAAAGTGTGGTCCCTCTCAACCTTATTGAAGAGTATGTATTTAATAAATACATTAAGTGTGTTTATTGAATTGTCTTTTCGAAGGTTGAGAGAGACTGAAACTTTAGTATGATTACTACATTGTGATGCTGAACATTACTGGGTTGAAAATGACTCCCTTTTATTGTATTCTCAGGGTGACAGCAAGCGCATGGAAGACGTGAACTACTACCTGTCACTGCCTTCGACCCGCAACAACCACAGCGACAACCACAAGGGGACAGTGCTGAGTCGCAGCTCCAGCAACGTGTCCGGGAGTGGAGGCCTGTCCGTCAGCTCCAGAGACAGCTTCTGCACCTCCACCCTGGTCTGCTCCACCAAGCTCACCCAGAATGGTAGGTGTATGTGTGTTTCTGTGTGTGTGTGGGGGGGGGGGGGGCAGGTGTGGAATTTTCGAATAGCTCCTTTTTGACATTGTGTTATAAATTCATCAACTCTGGAGACTTGGAAGGGCAAAACATTTATTTCAGAAACATGCATGCACGTACTGTACGCACACACGCTCACAAAAGTTGAAGAAAGGTCACGACAGAAATTATGAGGAGGAACGTATTTGAAATGAAACCTGACATGTTAAAAAAAACATTAATTAACATCTTTCAACAGAGTAATAAGGGCATGCCAAGACAATGAATCATCTGTTGGCTGATAAATTGGTAGAGGACACATCCGCTGCTTAGGAGGTTTCTTTATTTCTTTGTGTGTGTGTGTAACATGTTATGGGCTAGTAAGCACAGGCTAGTGGGAACTGTGTGTATACATGGGTTTGATTAGTGAGGAGTGTGTCATTTTGTCCTACACACTCTGGCAGGCAGCCACACAAGCAGACTCTCACACTGAAGTGCACAACAACAAATACACACACACACACACAATGCACGTACTTTCCAGACAGTATGGTGCATCAGGCACAGGTGCAGGGAAACAGCTGTTACTGAGGAAGCCAGTCCATCACTATAATGAACATTATCCTGCAATATTAATCACCTGTACCACACACACACACTCAAACTGACACACACACACACAAAGACACTCTCAGGCATGCATGCACACAGTGTTGTAAGGGGCCACCAAGCAGATGTGCGGCTTGGCTTGGTGAGTCAGGAATTATTGGACAGGAAAAGCAATGAGCTTCAAGCAGGCAGCCCTGCAGGGACGGGGGAATCTGCCCCATGTCAAACTCTAGCAGAATTAATGACAGAAACTGTGGATTTAAATGTTCAGCTTAAAGTCTGAGCAGAGGAACAGGGAGTGTCCACATGACACATCATCACTAGACGAATGGCTGTACTTACAAATAAGAGATGGATTTACAAAATAATATCTATGTATTGAATATATTATTTAGTTTAAGATTCAGCAACATTCACATTTTCGTTCTTTCAATCTTTATTATTCTTTCTTACCTCTTGGTCTGCTCCTACGTGTTTGAAATATCAGTGTTCAGCTCCTTAAGGAGATGTGTGCGATGTCTTTCCATGTTCCTTCCTCTTTTTAGTTTTATGTTCTTTCACTTTGTTTTGGAGAGAATCTTCCAATCCTCTTAAAACCTGCTCAACTTGAAAATGTAACTCCATTGACATATTTCTAGCTTCAAACTTTATTTCTAACTTTAAACAATGCTACAAGACTATGAGACATAAAACCACGAGTTGGCTTTTCATATATTTTAAAGTTTTTACTTTATCACAATTTCCTTTTATGCCCTTTTCTGACATTTTCTGAGTTTAAAATGGCTGTGAGTTGTGGTGCGTAGATTGTGTCGCATCACATAACCTGCGATGTCCCCAACTTGATCTATTATTTATTTTACCATTTTTTTCGTACTTATAGTTTTCAGAACTTTCACTTTCACTTCTCAAGCACGATCTTAGATTATTTAGGTTATGCACTAACCAGGACACAGAAGCTCACACATGCTGATTGGATTTTCATAGTAAGAGCCCCAAGTGGGTAATAAGTATTTATCAGGGAGTCTTGCACAACACTTGATTTTTTTAAGGGGACCAGCTGTGCTCATGTCTGGACTTTTTAAGGTTTTTTTCACATTTCAATTTCCAATTTGTATTACTTCTGTATTACTTCTGTATTACTTCTGTATTACTTCATCTGCGTTTTCTGCAGGAAATTCCATTACTAGTTTTATTGTGGCTGTAACTAACAATAACTTTACTGATTCATTCATTTATGGTTACTTTATGTACGTGTATCAACAATTTACCTTGTGTAAATGCTATTTACATAAAATGGGTAAATAACAGATACAGGAGTCTAGGCATGCTTCGTATATAGAGTATTATGTACATCCAAACCACAAAGTATTAATTTCACAAAGATATGAAATGGAGAAAAGCAGCAGATTGCTGAATATCATATTGTTGCCAATCTTTTCTGTCGAGTAGACCATAAATTAAGTATTTTGTACAACTCTTATTTCATTACAGCGTAACTGCTTATCAACACCAACTTCTTATCTTACTAATTATGTTAAAATTGCAGTGTATATGTATTCTGAAGAACAAAGGGGGGACACTGTCACATGTTCAAGGGAACACAGTGAAAATACTCAATTGAGAAAATGACAGTCTTTAACGATGCATTTGGAACACATTTCCATTTTAACAGCTTTAATGAGCATCTAGTTTTGAGCTAGACAGCTGTGTTTAAGACAGCTGAACAGTAAATGTACTCTGTGGGTCTCTTCTCTCCAGTGGGCCTGCTTGGGCTGCTCAAGTGGAAGACTCAACCCGAACACCTCAAAGAAAACCTTGAGAAACTCAAAATGATTGATGGAGAGGAGGTGGTCAAGGTCAGTGCTGTGAATACAAGTGTGTCTTTGCATTAAGTGTGCAGACTTGACACGTGTGTGATCTCACTGTCTTTTTCTGGATGTATGGGTTTTAGTTTCTGCAGGACACTCTGGATGCCTTGTTCAGCATCATGATGGAACACTCTCAGACTGACGACTATGACATACTCGTTTTTGACGCCTTGGTGAGTTTGTGGTGTTTGTTTACACAGATAATGTCGTGTATATCTCTGTGTGTGTGTGGCCTGTCACCAGATACAGCTGAATTTGTGACAGGCTGTCTGTGTGTGACATCTTTGCGTACCTATCCACCTTTTTCAAAATAAACATGTCTATCAGATGATTGTACACAACTTCCTATCTGCCTTGTAAATGTATACTCCCATTTAACCATGTAGCTCTCTCTGTCTCTCTTGTGTCTGCCAGATATACATCATAGCTCTGATTGCTGATAGAAAGTTCCAGCATTTCAACACAGTGTTGGAGGCCTACATCAAGCAGCATTTCAGCGCTACACTCGCATACAAGTAGGTCACTTCCTGGATCACAGACCACTTCCTTTCATCTCATTCTGTTTCAGTGTTCATGCGTTTCCTGAATGACAGAAGCCACTGTTCTCACACTGTGTTCGTGTTGCATCAGATTGTAATGTTTATATTCTGAACAAAAATGTCTACACCTTTTCTCAGTAGGATCATTTATAAGTGCTCCATAAATAGAAAGCAAAGACATCTCTCTACTCATCTGCCACAGGAGACTTTATTATCAATTAAACTCAATGAGCTCATCTGGCTATTTAAGGATTAAGACATTTTACTGTGGCCTCCATAGACTGCCAGCTGAATACTTAATTTGAAACATTTATTCTCCTTTTGTGGGAAAATACAAGCGCTGCAGTGTATCAGCAATGTTCCCCGTTTGCGTTTCAAATGAAGGATTATCTGATCTTTCCCCACCCCTTGGAATTTACGAAATCTTTAAAATCCCATTAGATAATCAAGAAAATGCTTTGTCATCAAGCCAAAACACCGATTTAAAACAGTTTAAAGTACACTACCAGAAACACATACAGTACAATCATGTGGGTTGTCTGAATCACATTCACAAAACTGTCATTTGGGCCAATACCATTCTTCATATACAAGTTTTATACCTTTTTTGGTCAAATAAATGTCACCTGAAGATCCAATGTTAAAAGGAAAATCGGCCCTCTTCAGTGTGGATCTCCACTCATTGTTAATGATGAATGTAAAGTGAAGCAATACATTTTTTAAGAGGATGCTACAGTATATTGATATATTTGTCTACCTCCCAAAGGGCCCCCAGCAGCCTTATCCTCTTGCCAGGCAGCTTCTGTCTCTCTCCACTGCATTTCTTTCAAATGCTCAAATAAATACAGCTGGTATCCGAGTCAGCCTAAACACTGTAAACACGATTCTTCTATAACATTTCCTGTACCCCTGTAATCTGGGATTCTATATTTTGCTGTACGACACGTAGATAGTTCAGTTTTAAAGCAGTTTGTTGAGCACGCCCCCTGGCTACCCAGTTAAGGAGTCTGTAACCTCACCACTAGATGCCACTAAATCCAACACACATTATTGTATCCACCTGCCACTGTAGGTCGGTGTGTGAGGGCCTTTTGCAGCACTTGACTGAACAGGATTACAGTTTTAACCCTGCCTCTGTGGAGTGGCAGCTAAAGCACTCAGGCATGCACCCAAACACATCTGCCTGCTCCTTACTCTCTGTTAATTGACTTCACTTGATTCAGTGAGTGAGAGACAATATTGTTTTGCATTGCCAAAGCTTCAGTTAGGGAATTAAAAGCATTTTTTCAATCTTCCTGCCCTCTCTGCTGTCTCTCCATCACTCCATCTCTACCCTGCCATTGTGTTGGTGTTCACCCTCTTTAAAAGGGTCACTACAGCTTAACGCCTGCCAGCCCAGAGGCTGTTATGTAAAGCCCTCAAACCCCCTCTCAATACCTTTTAAACTGCCGATCGCATTCAAGCCATGCACTAAAACAAAACCAGGGAAGACTGAAGGGTATTATTGTAGATAATATATAAAAAGGCCAACCTGACAGCAGTGAGGACAGATTAAAGTTCACTTTTCTTTGCTGCAGGTCTCCCTTGAAAAAGAGATCAATGATCTCAATGGGATTTCATCTGGATAAATAAAGGTTTTGAATTGAATTGACTTTTCTAATGGGACTATTATTGTTTAAGAGGATTGGGTCGATTTATAAAAGTAAGTGAGTGATCCCCTGTTGCTTTTCATGAAATAGAGCCATCACAAAGCCAAAACTCTCGGCCCATTTTAGGCCTACAGTACTGTCTTATTTTTACTGAATGTCATGTCATTGAGATTGGGAAGAGAAATAGTTCATAAACTTAGACTGAACTCTGTGCCACCCACACCTCTCCAACTGCTTTGACACATAGGAATATTTAGGTGTGTCTAAAGACGGCTGTGGGGAGTGCATGTGTTGGAGAATGATATTCCACCGTGCGTCTGACGGTGTCTGTGAGCTGTGTGAAAGGTACATCTGTTGAGGTGTGAAATGCTATTTTGCCATTTTTCCGGCTCAACCTCCCTGCCAGTCTTCCTCTCTCTCTGTCTTTCACTCTCACTCTGCTGAACTCCGTCTTTCTGCTCTATGGAAGTGAAAAATGGAGTTGATGATTAATTTCCCAACCTGTGGATCGTCAGAAAAGGAGTGACAATTCTGACTGGATGATTTAAATGTTCTCCTTTTCTCCCTTCCCCTTATGTCTGCATTCTGTTTCCCATTCTACCTTTCTAACCCCCCCAAATTCTATTGCTAATATCATTCTCTCCCAGGAAGCTGATGTCGGTGTTGAAGAGGTATCTGGACGTGTCCAGCCAAGGCCAAAAGTGTGAACCCATCCTCAGAACCCTCAAAGCCCTCGAGTACATCTTCAAGTTCATCGTCCGATCACGCATGCTCTACTCCCAGTAAGTGTCTGTGTACCTTTTTGTTGACTGACCATTATGTTAATACCTGTTCAATTTCTTTTAGGACCCACAATAATGCAAATAGACATTCTTGACCTCACACAGAGCCCAGTGGCTCAGCAGGAGTAATCGGTTTTGACAGTTCTGTGCGAGCAGGCTGCTGATTAGAGCACTATTGTTGCTAATGAGCATTGATGATGAAGTTCAGCGGCCGAATTAGAGCTAATGTCAGGGCAGGGCTGCTGAATGGGCAGCCAACGAAACACCAGGGAGACAAAGTTCCTGCAAAGAGAGACTTATGACACCCACTGTGCGGAGCCAAGAGCTGCACCGTAAGATCATTGAAAACACCATTTATAACTGCAGCGCACAAACTGATGCTGACAGATCCGAAACGTGTGTGTGTGTGTGTGTGTGTGTGTGTGTGTGTGTGTGTGTGTGTGTGTGTGTGTGTGTGTGTGTGTGTGTGTGTGTGTGTGTGTGTGTGTGTGTGTGTGTGTGTGTGTGTGTGTGTGTGTGTGTGTGTGTGTGTGTGTGTGTGTGTGTGTGTGTGTGTGTGTGTGTGTGTGTGTGTGTGTGTGTGTGTGTGTGTGTGTGTGTGTGTGTGTGTGTGTGTGTGTGTGTGTGTGTGTGTGTGTGTGTGTGTGTGTGTGTGTGTGTGTGTGTGTGTGTGTGTGTGTGTGTGTGTGTGTGTGTGTGTGTGTGTGTGTGTGTGTGTGTGTGTGTGTGTGTGTGTGTGTGTGTGTGTGTGTGTGTGTGTGTGTGTGTGTGTGTGTGTGTGTGTGTGTGTGTGTGTGTGTGTGTGTGTGTGTGTGTGTGTGTTGTGTGTGTGTGTGTGTGTGTGTGTGTGTGTGTGTGTGTGTGTGTGTGTGTGTGTGTGTGTGTGTGTGTGTGTGTGGGAAAAAAAAAAAAAATGTAGGTTTTAGTGGTTTTTTGTCTGTGGGTTTATGTGTTTGGTATTTGAAATAAAATGGTCAATGAAGGTCTTTCTTTTTAATCTTCTCGGGGGCATCGACAGCTGTGTTTTTCTATCAGTGTGCTGGGTTTGTTTGTTTGTTTATTCAGTGTGTGCGGATTTGTGTGAATGCATTAGTGTGGTTTTCCCAAGTGTGTTTATGTGCATGTACAACAGTCCACTAACCTGTGTGTGTGTGTGCGTTTGTATGTGTGTGTTTGCGCGCTCCACTGCTCCTGGATCGACTGAGCTTCCGTCCCCAGCCTCCCCTGGGTATCTCTTCTCTCTTCTCTTCTACTATCTGTCGCCCCCCACCTACCTGCAGCCGATAACTTCTTCTTGCTCTGCATATAGCGTTTTCACACTGAGGTTTTTCCTCCTCTTAAGGCCTTGTCATGCCAACGGAGAATTGGGTATTCAAGGGAGCCACTGGTTCTTTAGGTGCATCTGTAAGGTCCCATCATCATCAAGACTACCACTCATAAATAGTTAAATAGGCGGCACTGAAGATTTATTAGCTTGTCAAACCGACTTTGTGTTCATGCAAACTCTATTAGAAACGTGTGATGTTTGCTTCAGAAATATGTAAGGCACGCTGTACCAGATTTAGCTCTTTCCTTCACCTTCTGTATGTCCTTCAGGCCCTGCAGCTTTCACATTACTTCCACTAGTCTAGTTCATCAGGTGTGTGTGTTTCCTTTTTCCTTCCCCGGAGCACTTGCTCTATATTTCTCCTCCTGTCTTACCCTTTCCTCGTCCCCCTTCTTTCCATCCCTTTTTCTCATCTTTAGGTTTACCTTCTATCTTCACTTCATTCCTCCTTTTTAAACATTCTCACTCTCTCCAAAGCAAAAGCACACAGCATTGACATTTTCACAGACAAAATAAGTATGTTTTCTAATATCAACATCTTTTCTTATTAATGCAGTTAGGATTCTGTTAGGATATCTGTTCTGTTTTCAATGAGAAGCCTTTTTCAGACTTTTCTTCAAGGTCTTTCACTCCATTTCTGTTGATACCCTGCCCTTCATGGCTCTCTCCGTATATCTTCAGTATTTGTTTGCTGAGCAGTCTAATGTATATGTGTTATCGCTCTGCTGTGCGTGTGCTTGATGTGTGTGTGCTTGATGTGTGTGTTTGTGAGCACAGCTAAGCTGTAATAACAGCCTATGGTTATTTTGGCTGTTATTTCCATATATATATTTACAGGGTGTAACATGCTTGTGAAGTGTACTTTTATACAGCTCTGGAAAAGACCATTCCACATTTTTCTTAAATCTCAATCTCTACATGTATGGCAGCCATTCCATTATTTTATCTGTTGAATTCCAACATGGATAAATGTTGTCAGTAGTTTAGAGAATAAAAACAAAACAAATTCCTTTACTCAAACAAATATCTATAAAGAGTAAAACTAGAGAAACTGATCATTTTGCAGTGGTCTCTTCATTTTTTTTTCAGAGCTGTATATATGTGGTGTGAGTGCTCAACCTGGTGTTATGACACCATCTCTGACCCTGATGCATCTAGACATCATCTCTTTACACACACACACTCACACACATATTCATGCGCAGACAGGGCCTGTGGATTAAGCAGGACACTGTGTCTGTCATCATAACTGTACTCTGCAAAGCACCCAGTGATAATACCGCCGTGTGTTACCGCATAATCCCTCCCCGCACATGCTACATTTGCTGTGTGCCACATGCTAATCCTTCCCTCCAGCACCCAACACTTCTATTGTAATTAATAACTGCAAAGCTCCACTGAATCACACAGAGATAGTGAGATTGGGGGGAGGAAAGATGGATGAGAGAGACGTTTCCTTGGGGTGGAGGAAGTTAAACTCGAGCGATGGTAGAGGAATATGTGGGTGTTAGTTTGTTTGTGATGTGAAAAAGCAGCAACAAAGATCACCCAGTTTGTTTTAAAGTCTGAGGAGGGTTGTTGTAATCACTGCAGTTGGTACTTATCAATGTTTACTTTAACCTTGTCAACATAATACTTTATTAGTTTGCAGCAGCACTTTGGTATAGAGTGTATTGAATTACAAGTCTGCACTGAGTTGCTGAATAATTACATAGCCAGAATGACTTCTTTCTTTGTCTTACAACTTTATATGTTAAATAAAATATTGACCTTAAGCTTTAAATGTATAGCACCTTCACTTTGAATATATTTTAAACTATATTATTAAAGAAAGAAGCGAGGACCTGCAACCAATTCAGTTGACAATTTCCATAAAAACACATAATCTAGGAGTAATTTCCCTGTTGCTAGATAACTCTCAGACTGACAGAGAAGCTCTGGCTTGACAAGGAATCTTGAAAAAAAGTGAAACTGTAAACCCTGTAAATTCATCAAACTTAAATATTTCATATTTTAGTATTTTAGTTATAATTTACTGACTAGTTTGTGCGTTACACTCAATATCTGTTACATAATGTTGATCAAACATTTCTTAAATAAGGCTGTTTTTGCCTACATCTATATTCAACTTGAGTTTATTGCCAGCCATCTTTGTTTTTACACTTTGTGTCTTATTTTCTCTCCCCACCTTCCCACCTCAATGATTATTCACCTCCCTGTTGTTTTCTCTCATCTTTCAGCTCCTACCTCCATCCTTTACTCCATCCCCCTTTCTAATCGCGTCTTGTTTTCTAATGTTTGCCTCATTCATCAGAAAATCATTCAGATTTTCCTGTTGCATTTCCATTGATGTCCTCCTCCTCCTCCTCCTCCTCCTAGGCTGTACGAGGGGAAGGAGCAGGCGGAGTTTGAAGAGTCGCTGAGGAGCCTCTTTGAATCCATCAACAAGCTGATGGGGACCGACTACACCACCACTCTACTGCTCAGGGTAATCATACGTCTTCACCTTGAACCCCATTCTTCATCACCCAGCTCTCATTTTTACCATTTTTCATCCTTATGCTCTATTTATTATTTTTTTTTACATGTACCTGTCTGGTTCTGATTTCTCTTCTTCCTCCTCAATCCCAAACTTCTCTAATGCGATCACTATTCTGCTGCTTAAAGACATACAAACAGATCGAGTCACAGAAAGTTAAGCAGAAGAACTAGTGGCCCTGTAAAACATAAAATAGATATTTTCTCACACTTCTGATCAGAGGTTATTTGATGGCAAAGTCACCTTCTGTTCACCAACATCTTCCACAGGATTTCAAGACAGCTTTTTAACAGTGTTTACTTGTCCTGTGTGTGTGTGTTTCATCAGGTTGCTGCTCTGAAGTACCTGCCAACAGTCCTGCATGATGTTGAGCAAGTGTTTGATGCCAAACTTCTCAGGTAAGCTTGCCTTTAAATACTCAGGCACACCAACACACACACAGACACACACACACCAGCTCCTTATCTTTGATCTCATTCAGTGACACTGACAGAGGGGATATAGGGGAGCTTTCAGTTCAGCTGAGGTTTTAGTCTTGGCTTTCTTCAGTGACCCCCATCCTTCTGTCCCACACCTTCCGTCCTGGTTCAGCCGCACCTTCTCCATCAGGTGATAAAAATCTCATCAAACTGACATACACACAAGGACACACACTCAAACACAATCTGCGCCTCCTCCTTATGCCCCTGAGTGAATTGACAATTGCAGTGAAACCATCAAACAAAACCCATTTGAACCTCTTCTCTCAGGTTTCTTCTCATCCTCCTAAAGAGCGAAATGACTTGGAATGGCTAGTTTGACCTCTCTTTGACCCCGAATCAGTGTATATACCTCAGCAGTATTTCAGGCACTCTGTTTGTCCTCTAGCAATTCCACAACCTAACAATGATCCATTCTCTTGGTATGACCTTTTTACCTTACCAAAATATGTTAATTGATGTTTTCCTACCAGCAATGTTCCATTTTAAACACCCTTATCCTCACAGTTGTGCTTTTCACCTTTCTGTGACCCGTGTGCCTTTGTGTGTTTGTGGATTATCCACATCTGCCAATTTAAGTCCCTGTAGTGGCTCGATGTCAACACAGTGTCACGAAGGTGCTACCCAACACCTGCCACACAGACCATAACTCGCAAATACACCGGTAGAAAGGTGATGAAGGGCATCGAGTTTCAAAATCAGTGCATATATTCTCACTTTCTGTCATTCAATTTCTCTTTTTCTCTTCCACACACCTCCCGTCTTCTGCGTTTCTTTACCCACATGCACAAATATACCGAGCCATCTACACTTGAAAGTAAGGTCCCCATTGCATTCCTGATCAGAATGGCCTCAGGCAGAGTTTCCAAAAGCAAGCTGTGTGAATTACAATCAGTGCGAAATAGGTGGACATCAAAGCCTTGTCTCAGCTTCGGTATAGTCACATTCCTGCACCTTGTAAACTCACCTATGGTGTGATCCGCCGAGCCTACAAACACAAACATTGTCAGCTATGCCTGTGTTTTGTTTGCTCTAGTTGTCCTTTGTTTGTCCATGTGGGAATATGCTGACATTTTGGGTTTTAATTACATTCTACTCAGATGATTACTGGGCCTGATAAGTCAGCCTCTGGGCCCAGCATGTCCTCCTGCCAGCTTATGCACACCAAAAGTTAAACAAACCTTTTGTTGTGTTTGTTAGCCGGGGTTGTGCATTTAATTTTTAATACCATCAGTGACAGTGCTGTTGCAGCCTGTATGCCATCAGTTAAGTAGACAGAAACAAAGTGAGATACAAACATGTAGACACAGGGTTTGCCATGCTGTGAGTATTCAATCTTTCTAAGTGGCATCGGGGCTTGCAACCAGGCTGTTTAATTATTCTAAAATTGAATTTGGGGGGCGTAGGATGATTCAAACCTGTGTCTTCATTAAAGCCTGTTTAGGCTGTGGCTCATTTGTTTTCATGCGGCATACACTGCTTTACCCATGTCTATGCTGCGCTGTGCTTTCAGTGTTTGCATATTTTATGACCTTAAAGGAGAAATGTTTAAAGCTTAAGTTACTGAGGCGTGGTTCCGTCTTTTATCTTTGAATCAATTCCAAGGTGGGGAAAAAAGGAATGAGGAGATTATGTTCAAACTAAAAAAAACATGCAATAATCTGTGTTAAATTATTCCTGAATATTTATTGTGCTCATTTTCAAGAAAACAAGCCTGTTGTTCCTTCCGTATAATGATCTTGCCGATTATTTATTCCACTGCCTATTGCTTTCTCTTTTCAGTGAGTTGCTGCATGACTTTTATTCCTGCATCCCCCCTGAGGTACTCCAGAAACAGAAGGTGGCCTCCATGACTGAAATCGTCAGCAGCAAACTCTTCCAGAGACAAGGTGTGTCATTTATTTTTTCTGTCATAGGCCTCAGCATTGAGCTGCTAACCAATAGCCGACTTAACGGTTGTGGGGAGAACCAATCACAGATGTGCCCAGCTCTGAACAAATACCACCGCAGTCTGTGAAATCCTACAGAGCATTAGTTGCTTCTCACTTAAAGGTTGAGATCGCATTAAAAGGTCTATTATACAGTGAGTAATTCCCGCACAGCTACAGGACTGAGCAGACAGCTGTTCCCACTGTACTTTATGATCAGGAAGGATGTCCTTTACTTCAAAGGCTTTATCTTGATACAGCGCAGTGGATAAAAGTGTGGTGCTAATACGGCAAGGGTAATGTTCCATTCCCTGTAGGGCAATCCAGTAAAGCACTCTGGGTAAAAGCATCTGCCACATGGTGAAAGGACAAACTGTTGTTTATTCATGTATGCTTTATTTTATTTCCTGCACCATACACACACATTCAAGTCAATTTCATTAATATAGGAATGACATGGCAACCTATAATCTCCAAGGAAGCAGACGATATGGAGGATGACACTCCCAAATACTTAAAAAAGGAACAATGAATGATTTTTAACATGAATTCAACTACAATCTTTTGAATCCTTGATATTTGCTTGATTTACTCTAAGAAAAAAGAAGGGTAAATCTACTTTAACATTAACAGTTGCTTCAGCTTACATTCACCTTAATACTAAATGGATATCTGTGTTTATTTGTCAAAACAGTATTTTTGTCAGTGGCTATTTTTTATTGAGGGAAAAAAACAAAAGAGTTTGGATATTTGATGCTGATGCTGTAACAAACTATTTGAGTGCTGCTATGTTTATCTCCACTGACATTACAATCAGCTCGATGTACCCCGGTCAGATACCATATTATTACAATCAGCACAAGTGGCACCGATTAATGTTCTGGTAAATTCAAGTCAGCAGGCTGGAATAACATGGACCTAACCAGTAAACATTTGTAGTCTGAAGCAGTATCTGTTCGTTGGCTTTTGTCCTTGTGGTGTTGACATTCCCTATCCGCCCAGACTGAAAACATGCATGAACATTATTGCAAGCAGAAAATGAATACATGGTTTACGCCTTATTAATTGTTGCCAGTGAATATAAAGAAAGATGAGTGCTATCCATATTAATGTCAAAGGTAATACCTGCAGTTTGCCAAAGGAGAAGAAGTAATAACGCCTAATGTGTGAGGCAGATAAGCGGAAAGTGTTTTCAGAGCGCAGCAGTGTCATAGTCATTACTGTGTCAATGTTCACACCATGCCTATTGTTTGATTTCCCTAGATTTGGTGTAATTGCCAGAGACACATGTTTTTGTATGTATCGGGCCATTAAAGTACACTACACATTAAGGATCATACACTCTGCACCAAGTTCACCCCCTACTACGGTTCAGCCCTATTATGTCAGTCTAATTGGCTTGTAGTGGGCTGATAAGTGGTAGTTTCCCCTGCAGAGGACCACACAGTGATGAATAGAGTGGGCAAATGTTGTGCTGCTGTATAAAACCGAGTCGATAAGGGGGCCCATCATCGGGCCTCTGCAGTGGAAGAATTGGAAAAAGGCTGTGAGTGATTGTGGTAGACCAAATGTGGTTTCAGACAGAAATGGGTCTGAATGAGATGGGATGGGATGGGATGCATGCTGGGCTGTTGGGGAGAGTTTAAGTTACATCATGGATAGTGCAGGTTGTGTATGAGAATGCATCCATGCGCACATGGGGCAAACACATTTGCATGTATCTGTTTCAGAGTGACTGATGACACCATGTCTCGGTGTGGGTGTATTTGTGCATTTCAGTATTTGTGCAGCGGTGCATGCTAAATGAGCGTGGGCTCTGCCTTAAACGTTGTTTTTTCCCGGTGTAGCAGTGGGTCCGCTCATCAGTCAGCCGCTGCCAGCCGAGGCAGTGGCCGGTCCACGATACGGTCCTTTGGTATTGATCTTGGCTCCGATGATTGATTCCCAAGGGGCCTCAACGACAGCCTGGGCCCTCTGGCTCGCTGTCAACATTCTCTGAGTCACACTCTGTCATCAGGGAAGGAAGGCGAGAGGGAAGAAAGCGATGAAAGTAACAGGAGAGGGAGTGATGGGAACAACAGGTAGAAAAGAGATAAAGAGGTGTATAAGGCATCATGCCAAAATGCTACAAATCAATTTAGGCAAACAAGGTCTCTGAATTATCAGTCAATATGTGAAAACCAGATGGCTGACCTAAAACCATTTAGAAAGCAAATATTTAAATACTTTTAGCTCCAGTCAACCATGTTAAGAGTCATTTGAGAGGGTGGAAATCTCTATTTGTAATAAAAATACTTCCTATGCCAGATGAGAGGGATTCAGGCAGAGGTAGTTTAGAGACAAATGAGGAATGAACAAACAAAGGCAGAAAAGATGGAAAATATCAAACTAATTTGCAAAGGAGGGAGACAGAAGAGTAAGGGAAGATGTTTTGGGAAAATAAAAGACTTCCCACTGGCAGAAAGGGAAAGGGGGATGACATGATGATTAGTAAAGGTGGGACAAGTTTAGAGATATGGGAAAGATTGATGACAGTTGAGTGGTGAAGAGACACTGGCATTTATAGGGAAACAAGGTATTCTGGAGAGAGGAGAGAACCGGTGGTGGTACAGAAAGAAAACTAAATAGCTTGAGAGTGAACAAGTAAGAGTTTGTGAGAGACATACTGATGTTGTTTTGCTATAAAACAGTCCAGAAGTGATTAAAGTTTAAGGCCTGCTCACACGCAATCTATCAGCAAACCCGCTTGCTGTCGGTCCCAGCTCCCTACCCCCCCCCCCCCCCATCCTCCGGCACACTGCTTATTTATTCATTCGTTCTTTTATACATTGGTCTATTCCATCTCGATCCCTGCCTCACCAAATGAGGGCTGACGCTCAGTCTAATTGAGATGCATTTAAGCATTGGGATGCTCATCAGACGGCTTGTATGCGGGGATGCCATTCGTCCAGGAGGCTGAAATATGTAGCACAGCTAGATTATATATTTATCATGGCTAATGGCCCCGGGTGTCCTATCACTGCTCTGCAATACATATTTAATAACCATACCTGTCTGTTTGACTGTCTGTCGGGGAGGACCTGCCAAGCTCCGTCTCCAGGGAAAAATGCCAAGCCTTTGACAGTGTAGGAGATGTTAGATGATTGAAGGGGAGGGTGTGCGACTGTGCGTGGCAAGAGTCGAGAGGTCACCTGCTAGCTAATGTTCGAGAGTGAGAATTAAAAAAAACAGATAAGAATTAAAACCAGTAAAAAATTAAAAAAACATCTCAGTAGTAATTTGATTATAAAAGTACCAACTGCAATGCAACCTATCTGTATTTGAATCATACCTTGATATTTAATGTATTTTTTACTCACTATGAAGTGCATAATGAGCAGCACATTCGCATTAGCTCCACAGTTATCCCGTCACATACTGTTATTGTTAGATTGAAGTGCCGTCATTGCAAGAGGGCATCTTCTTACAGCAGAAAACACAACATGTGGTTGTGTAGGGAATATAATCAGGATGTGGATTGGTTTAAATATTCCTTTTTGAAAATATTTTGGTAAAAATAAGCGAATCCAGAAAGTATTGGAACTACCATGTATTTGTTACTTGGTGTTACTCACTAGGAGAGCAGTCTCTATTTTTGCAATGAGGTCCTGTCACACTGTAGTCACATGTGTTCACTTTCGTGTGTGTGTGTGTGTGTGTGTGTGTGTGTGTGTGTGTGTGTGTGTGTGTGTGTGTGTGTGTGTGTGTGTGTGTGTGTGTGTGTGTGTGTGTGTGTGTGTGTGTGTGTGTGTGTGTGTGTGTGTGTGTGTGTGTGTGTGTGTGTGTGTGTGTGTGTGTGTGTGTGTGTGTGTGTGTGTGTGTGTGTGTGTGTGTGTGTGTGTGTGTGTGTGTGTGTGTGTGTGTGTGTGTGTGTGTGTGTGTGTGTGTGTGTGTGTGTGTGTGTGTGTGTGTGTGTGTGTGTGTGTGTGTGTGTGTGTGTGTGTGTGTGTGTGTGTGTGTGTGTGTGTGTGTGTGTGTGTGTGTTGTGTGTGTGTGTGTGTGTGTGTGTGTGTGTGTGTGTGTGTGTGTGTGTGTGTGTGTGTGTGTGTGTGTGTGTGTGTGTGTGTGTGTGTGGGGCCTGTTCATGTGCCCCTCATGTCCAATTGCATCCTTTGGCCGTGTTTGAAGGGATTCTATTTTTTTCCAATGCTCAAAAATATGCTTGTGGGATTAAAGCTATTGGCAAGCAAATACTGTTTACACATATGCAGATACAGGCACAGATACACATGTGCATCGTGTGGGGGGTTAATCTGGTTTTGAGACAACATGACATTTACGATGCGCATTATGGCTCATTTTAGGCAAATTATAATGCAATCAGTGTGACAGATTGAGAGCATTAACACTGATAAATGGGGGGAAAAGAATGAGAGCAAAGAGCAGAAGGACAGTGGGAGGAAAATGGCGTTTTACTTTCCAAAATCAGGCCAAATCCCTGATTCCATCTAATAACCCTCTGCATTTTTCAGCCAGACAGCCATTCCCCCTCCTCCATCTGTACAGCTGGAGGGAAGACAGCAGTCATGTCACCCGTCTTGTAGAACAGATGAAACATAAACCACATTTTGGTGTGATGAATTGTTTGTGCTAAGTGTGTCTGTAACATAACATGATACTAAAACCATAAAACTGAAAATCAGAGAAGCTGCATTCTGCCATCTCTACTGTAAACATTTGATTTAAATGCATTATTCACATCAAGCCATATAAACAGCAGCAATCCCATTACTTAAGTGTTTGTGCTTTACTGCCGCACATCATACAATACTGTTGACATTGTTCCCACCCGTGTCTATATTTCCCCTGCTGTGATTACTTAACAGATGCATGTCAGGGCTTGATGAATATGGATGACTAATGTGCTGTACAGATATTAACGTCAGGATTTAATCAGTGTTGAGTGTTGAGTGATCTTGGTT